ACAAAATATCTGGTGATTAAATATGAAGTTACATAAATAAAAATAAAAACGAGGAAATATGTGCAATTAGTGTATAATAATAAATTATTAGCGAGAGCAAAAAAAATAAAGTTCAAGCGATTAATAATGGCGGCGCCTTTTCAAACAATCATCTGACACGCACGTTTGCCAACTTTTCAACTGAAATTTATTTCGATTATTGTGACATTAAAATGGCTTACTGGGGGGAATGCTCGTGCGCTGCTCTTTGTACGAGTTGCCAAATAAACGGCGTGACAAGCCTGGAACACGTCTGGGTCTGGACTCTTTTATGGATTCGGGAAGAAGAAAGCAGAAGCCATCTACGCTTGGCAACTAAACTCTTTCTTCTTGTAATGTTTCTTTCGTACTTTTCCTTCCTCCTTTTCTTTTCTTTCATCTCCGAACATTTATACGGATTTCGTGTTCTTCAATCATCGTCGAGTTTTTTTCTTTTCGTAGTAAGAAGATCGGTTCAACCACTTAAGAAACTTCCAGTTTTTATTTATCATACAAGGTAATGATGATAGCGACATCATTTTGTACTAAACTAAACAATTAATCGTGCGTTATTCTTAAAATAAAAATGTATATTTCTAACCTAAATATATAAACGTATAAAGAATCAGAACATAAACTTCTTAAAGTGGAGAATAATAAAGTGTAGTAATTATTTCAAGTGTTTCACAAAATTTCGGATCAAATTCTACCAAACGGGAGCAGTTGCTTTTACACTAATTATCACTTGCTCATTGTAAATTTACGACGCACGACTAACATGAGGGTACGCTATTCATTTAACAGACGATTAGTCTACTGACAACTGCAAAACATACCGGACTTTCAATTAAAAACGTGATTAGCGACATCCGTCTTACAAGCATCGGCTACTCTCTCCATTAAGTAGTCATTTGACAATATTGTATATGTGTTATATATAGTAACATTACTTGCCAAGTATCAGTAACTTGCGAAACACTGTAGATTGTAATGTACATAGAACGCCAAATATAAATATTCGTACATTTAAACAAATAGACATAAAACAAGAAAATAACTACACTTTTTCCATTCTTGATCCTGTAATAAAAAAATGTATTTGCGCAATTGTAGATTAATCTCACACTCCTCGAAGTATTAACGTATCAATTTTATTTATCTTCAAAGTGCGAGATCAAATGAAATATTCTCTGACGTAAAGTATAATACATATTAGTTTTATTAGTATTATAAAAAATATGTTTAGAATTAGAATGGATTTAAATAAAAATTACACAAGAAAAAAATATTTCAATGCAATTATGTCACGAATGTACAAAGAAATTTTCAATTCAGCATGACATCTATTTATTTATCTTTTAATTGTTATTATAGAATGTATAAGAAAATCTATCAAGAAGATATTCTATGTGATAAAAATCGTTATTTCATTAAAAAGATAATTAAAATTTCATGTTTGTAAGAACTTTTGAATAGTTTAGTAAACATAATGATTTATTCAAAGAGATGTTAATGACTGAATTCGTGAAGGTACCTGTTTGTGAAATGATATAAAATAATTATGAATTCGAATCACACATATTTGAGCATACATACAATTAACTACATAAGCAGACTGAAAAAGAAACGTGGTGGCTTATGTTGTAATTCGATGAGTTAGTAAATTTTGGCTATTGTGAAAATATTTGAAAGTCGATTGGAAATATTCGAATTTTCTTTTGATTTCTTTACATGGAATACCGTCTATATCTCACCATTGCCCATGAGCGGATTAACAGTAAAAATATTTTTAAGTTGGCTAATTGATGTCGCAATCATGCAATTGGCAATACTTGCAGGTTGTATATTTATGTGTTTCGATTATTGTTGGTAATAATATGTGTGTACAGAATTAAAAATAAAAAAAGAAGTGCAGATAAACATTATTATATGCATATAGACACACCACAGCACACTCTGTATTTGGTTTACATATTGACATGGAATGTAGTAAATGATAACATATTATCAAACGAGTAATAAACACTGTGCGCGGTGACCCAATTAACGTCGTTGATTTGCTCGTGCACAAAGCTGTATATAATAAAGGAAAACAATTTCGTACATTATTATATTCCTCGGTTAAACTCAAAACTATTTATAGCATTTCATCAATGGAGACACCCGATTCTTATATAAGTTACTTTATGTGCGTGTGATGACATTGCATTTCTTTTATTTACATATAGAGAGCAAAATGAAAACGTGTTTTCCTCTTATAACATGAAAGAATTTAGTACAGCTCTTGATTTAGAACGCAATCAGTATACAACATAATCCTATTGGTAAAATATTTCGAAATTTGATCAAAACATCATCTTCGCAATTAATAATAGTACGGAGGAAAGTCAACAATCAGGAGATAAACAAGAGATGATTCAACGATGATGTCAATATAATATACGACAAAAAACGCAGAATACACTTGAGAATATTACAGTGCACGAGACCAAAAGGAGGTGGAGTACGTGCGTGCGCTATGTTGCCGCTTCCACTTTTGAAACATCATTATTTCTACTGTGTCCAAATATTTTTAACCTAGATTTTTATTTCTCATACAAATTTGAAAACAAAATGTAACGTTAAGAAACCGCAGCAATTCATCCGTTTTTGGAAGGAGCGGAATATGTACGATTGCATTTCTGCTTAATTGCTCTTACGAATTTCGAGTAAAATGAAGATTTATAACTTACAACCAATAATTTAAGGAATATATTTTGCATCTACTTAATTTTTTAATAAGCTGTATAACAGCGATGATCACATATTATTTTTCTTATATAAGTACAATTATTTTTCTTGGTCTACTAAGTTTTTTTTATATAATATGGTCGAGTACGAAAACAACATGTGCAGATCGTTCTAAATATAAAACGTGTGTATGTCGAGTGAGAGAGACCGAAGAGCTTTCCATGTAATCTAAATAGCAATTCCATATGTTTCCAAAGGTTTATCATCCTCGACTCCGCACAATAATAAAATCTCAAACGAGAATATATGCGATGTCTCTCCGTGAAAAGTAATTTAAATTATATTTTTCAATTACACTTGACAAACATTAAATGCTCTCTACTTGTTTCATTTATATATAGCATCTTACAAATATCCGCGATAAAGCAGTCTTCATACAACACTATTTTTAATTAAACTAGAAGACACTTTATCGTCAACTATGTTCGTTTTGTTTCATATTAGCTAATCTATTTATGTGACTAATGCAGATTATATTAGCCAATACATGTCCCTCTTTGGTATTGTGTCAAATAAATCAGCTACAGCTGTTTTAGACTTATATATAGATGATTGCATAACTGATATTTTGCATTTCAAGTAAAATATTCAAGCCAGATTATAAACTTTGTTATATTAGCAATATTTTGTTACGGTACGTGAATTAAATAAATTCAGAATATATTTAAATTTTGTATTTTAATATTGTATGTTTCTGAGAGTGCCGAAGAAAAAAATGTCATTACAAAGTAGAATAAAATATGACCATAGTGTTAAGAATATAAGATTTTTAAAATGTTAATATTGTAGTTTCATAGTATTTAAAAAAAAAGCAAATCGACAACAATTACAGAACTATAAGAGAAATGATCGGATATTTATTGATTTATGAAACCTTACCAAATACATCACGAAGCTTATATTTGCAATATTAAAAATCATACAGTTTATCTGCTTGCACCTTCTTCATAAAGTAATCTTGTTAAATACTGTGACACAGCAGATAATTAATAAATATGGTTAACTTCTTCTTCCTGCAATTTAAATTTCGCAGAGCAGCTGCTTAGAACAACTATTAGAAGTTCTAATTATTCCACTGAAACATATAGATAAATTAGTAGACTTTTATCTGTGTTGTATAAACGCTTAATCTTTCATTGATGATTAACTATTTGTTTTTTCTCGATTCGAAGCGGAAGGTGTAAATAATTCTTGTGTTGTTGTATTTTTAGTTTGTTTGATTTGGTTGGATGGGATATTAATAGAGAATGTAGTGTGGTGCATGGCTGCGCTGCACCTGCACTTGAACTGAACCTGACCTATAATAGAAGCCATGTGTAGTCTAGGATAGGGGTAGCCTAGATAAACTAGAAATAGATTCTCTCGTAAGAGTACGAATAGTCAAGTGTGTATAAAGTGGCGGCGGGGAGAAGCCGGACCGAGAGTGGCAGTAGGTCAAGGGAATGGAGCCCGAGACAAAGACGGGGCGAAACGAGCGGCAGCGAAGAAGAGGTTGCGGAGGAGGACGACGACAGGTTGGGTTGAGGAGGGAAGAGGGATGGCTGCGTGCGCGTGCATGTATACACAGGGTGCGCTGTAAATGGTGTTGGGCTAGGAAGTGCAGAGGATGGAGAAGGAAGGTGGCGGTAGAGCGCGAGCAGGACGGAAGACCGCCCGGGAAAAAGGCGTAACCTACATCAACCAGACATCCACTGAAGGAACAAAACACGCGCGGCGGCGTTGCCAGATCGGGGGAGGTGGAGAGACTAATTAAATCAGAAACCGGATGACATCCAGACGCTGTTGAGCTCCTTTTCCTGGGGGATGGAAAGCATTCTCACTTTCCGATTCACTTTCGCATGCACGCAATGGTGGGTGCAAGTGAAAATACATCCATGATGGGATGGGAGAACTCTCACTTTTGCCAACGACGAGCGACGTTAATCGAGCGCGCATTAACAACAACAACAATAAAACAGGTTTCTGCCGCCGCTGCTGCTGCTTCTACTATTGCACGAAGCAGTGGAATATAATATTATTTCACGAAGTGTAATAGCAGCACTAATAATAATGATGTTGATGATGGTATAACATGTAGTAAAGAGAGTATGTGTAAAAGCGAAAGAGAGAGGCAGGTTAGCAGACAGCAGCAGTATGCTGCAAAGGAGCTAGAAACAAGAGAGAGTGATATCATGGATGGTATCATTCATTACCTTCGGCAGCATTATTAGTAAAAGGCACTTCCAAGTCAACGTTGTCGTTGTCATCGGTGATTTCTAAATTAACTTCTTCGAGGGCCATGGTGACAGGGGTCTGGGTGGTGGCATTGGAGACGGTGACATCGAGTCCGACGCCACCGCCATCGTCACCGCTTCCTTCGCCACCACCTCCACCACCATTCTGGTGGACCACCATAACAGTATCCTCAGCCGCCACCGTCGTCGTCGTCTGGGTGCTAGTAGACGCGGCAACGGTGCCCTGTTGTACGCTCATACTTGTCGCTTCTTGATGCATTGTTTACCCCGATTTAACGCACTTAAAACGAAATGATGACCCCCGTCGGACACGCACACAGGCGACCCGAAGCCCTGACCTTCGATTGCACCCCGAACAACCCCAATTACCCGCTTTCTTCGCCCCCGAACATTAAAACCGAGCGTATCATAAATGTAGGTCTGTAGGCCACTTCGCTTACACTTTGCATCAGACACAGACATGAGCACTACGCCACGAATCAAATCAGCAACGCGCAACATCCAGACCTATCCGAAAAACCTGATCCCCCGATGTTGCGCCCTCGTGCCGCTCCCCAGCTGGGGGCGGAAGGCAGCATCGCATCATCCCTGAAAACATCGAATTCATCTCCGGATTCGCCGCCGGCCCAGTCCCAGGCGGCATTGGTCTCCCTAGCAAAACTTTCTTTTTCCAAAAATCTAGGTCAGCGAGCCTCCGCCGACTCGCGCAACGCTTGCACAAGCCCCAGAGCTCGCCTCTGCTCAAAACCCCCTAAACGTATCAAATCGGACGACGAAATCGTAATTTCGGCGGCGCCCGAATCCAAATTTGAATCGGAACATGGGACATCAATTGACTAACCGATTCCACGGAGAACGACGCTTGCGCTCTGTGATTCCTCAGGACCTTTGAAAAACGCGCGCCAAATTCTATTTAGGTCAAGTGGAACGAAAACGAAAGTAACGTTTACTTGCTAGTATACGCATCCACACAGCCAGTGAAATTGCTCACTGCTTCAATATCATTACAACATTCAAATTAAAATAATAGCGACGCACTCCACAATGCCAGAAAAGAGTGGTGAACAAGGGAGCAGACGAAATTCGGCGTTTGTTCTATTATTGCGGCAACTATTACTACAACAATCGGTTGCGTATATACAACCACACGCACCCAAATGTAATTGTTCTCATTATTCATACTACTGTCTGAAGCCGTATTCGTAATTGCTATTTCTAAACATTCCTAAATCGAATTATGTTCAATTTGGTCTACTATAATTACGAAATTAAATTACTCCACATTATACATACTATATAAATTATTCTTCTTGTCTAGAAATTTGAATTTTCTGATTACGACATTTCCTGCCACCTTAATAAATAAAACGAAACAATAATCCTCTTATTATTTAACTTTTCCTTATAAAGTCACAAAAATAGAGCAATAGCTTTGGAACTTTAGCAAATCCAAAATTATTTTAAATACTAGTTATAATAATGAAGTTAAGAATATATTATTGGTTAATAAAGAACGAAATTACATTTACGTATATTATTGAAAATGTAACGTAAAAAATACTGACAAATCCTCTTAATTGCATTGTATCAAATTATACTGATTCCTTTAAAAATACAAAATTTCATGTTGACCAAAAAATAAATATGTACATATTGGAGAGATATAATCCAATTCTTATAAATCGCATACAGGACCTTAATATTGTTCATTAATTTGCAGCGTCTGTAAAAATATGTCTATCAAAAACATATTTTAATATAGCAAATACTAAAGTATTTTGATTTACAAAAATTGTATATACCAATTTCATAATTATTTTATGTTTTAGAATCTAAAAGTCTAAATTTTGTAACGATTTATTTTATAATGTAAGTTTTATCATACATTATTAAAATAAATAATGCTTTTGCAAATATTTTTTTAATCAAATAATATAGAGGTTTAAACCCTAAGTTACAATATAAAAATAACATATTTTTTAACAATTATTCAGAATATTCAGGATATAAGTACGATTCAATTATTTGATCTTCAAAATATTCAGTTTAAATATGAAGTAAATACAATTAATTAATATTATATTTATATATTATAACTCGTACTGCTTAATACTAAACAACTAAAATATCTTCAAATTCACTAAACAAATTTGTCATAACTTCTTCAGCGGTAGAATAGAAATTTTAAAAAAATCCTGAATTGCGCTTCAAACAGAAAATGAAATATTGTTATACTTATGTTATTTGTATTATGCTTTATATTTATATATACTCATATATACATTTTTTAAATAAATATAAAACTTCCAATGTACTGAAAGATACGTCACTAAATATTTAGAAGATGGTTGGATCGACAAGTTCCAATAAGAAATAATCCATACAATAAAAATATTTATTTAATTTAAGAATCACTCTTAAATTTAAAAGATTTAGAAGATCATTGAAAATTTTAGAGTTTAAGGTAATAAACATTGTGACACATAAATCCCAATAGATTTGAATAATAATCATTATCTACTGTTACAGGTATAAATAAATTATTTTGATTAATTAGGATATATTGTTGTCTATTGGTAGTTGTTGGATATACTTCCAACCAAACACTTGTTTCCCCATCACTATATTTTCCCTAAAGTAATAGCATGTTATTCCCTATAGTTCATAACCAAATAATAAACAACAACAAACTATTAACCTCTCCGAGATCTGTCCCATACATTCCAAAACCTTCACTATGAGTCAAAATGAACATAAACCCAGAAGAAGAGGCGGTAGATACTTACAGAGAAACTTAAGATCGCGGCTTGAGAGTCGTCTTCTTCAAGTTCATCTCCAGCTTGATATATTAAAATAAAGTTCGTCCTAAGATAAGCAATAGCAATTTTAATATTTTTATGATATAATTATTGTATTATGATAATTGTAGATAAACCGTTAATATTCGCGCCTCTGTTAATGTGTATTTGACAAATAAAATCCAAAGTGGTCAAAGAATAACAAAAAAAACTAAAAGAAACTGTAATAGGTTTTATTTCTTTCTATAAGGTTAAGTTATTAATCTTGGTTGCATATTAATTTACCTTTCAGAGGTTCCTGTAACTCCTATTGTGGTCAGAGCTGTAAGAGCCCCTGCTTGACTTGTTAAACATTTGTTTCTGCAGAACCCCCCAATCGGAAAGTACATTAACTTGAGGCTAGTAAAGTTGTGTTAGTTATATTAATCAACTATTTAACTGACTATGTCCAAGGATCTATTTCCTTAAATTGTATATTTATGGTAATGAAATTTAATGATAATGTAATATTTTACCATTAATATTTATTTATTCAATAAAAAGCTATAGCATAATATTACTTTAAATAATTTAGTTGAAGTTAATATTTATGTTTACAAAGTTTTAGCTCTGCCCAAGACTTCCCTGCTGATGATAATGCGCTGGATCTGGGAGGTGCCTTCGTAGATTTGGTAGATTTTAGCGTCGCGCATTAACTTCTCTACGGGATAATCGCTGTTGAAACCATTGCCTCCGAAGATTTGAACTGCATCGGATGCGCACTTGTTCGCTATATCAGCTCCATAGCATTTGGCTATAGCGGCCGAATAGCTGTTCCTCTTTCCATTGTCGACATCCCAAGCAGACTTCATCCACGCCAATCGGGTAGTTTCGACTGCTATGGCCATATCAGCCAGCATAAACGCAACAGCTTGATGATTTCCAATTGACGTGCCGAAAGCTTTCCTCTCAGTCGCGTATTTCGAAGCTTCGTCCAAGCAACGTTGTGCTAATCCGCAAGCACCAGCTGCCACCTACATATATATTAAATCGTTTAAAATAACAACAATATAAGATTTTAATGTGTAATTACCGGAGGCCTGGTCTTATCGAAAGTTCCCATAGCAACTTTAAATCCAGCACCTTCGCCGATGAGAACGTTCTCCGCAGGAATTCTCACATCTTCGAAGGTGATACCACGAGTATCGGAAGCGCGTTGTCCCATATTTATTTCCTAACAAAATCAAAGGATTTTACAATTATTTAATCGAATACACAAATTTTCAATACCTTCCTTCCCGGTGTAAGGCCAGGGCTGTCACCATCCACAATGAACCCGGTGAAAGCATTAGCTGCCGGAGCTTTCGGGTCAGGATTGGTTCGAGCTAACACAAAATACCTGATTCATAACAATACAATTACTATTAATTAATTCGTTTCCTGCTAAACCTCACCAATTGGCAACTCCACCGTTGGTGATCCACATCTTTTGACCATTCAGTATCCATTCGTTGCCCTTTTTTTCTGCGCGCGTCTTAACTCCATTCACATCGGATCCGGCCACCGGTTCCGTAACGCAATAAGCCTAAGAGTTTTAATTGTTTAGTTATCTTCAAAGATTACTATCTATAGACATATTTACAGCTACGAGAGGTTCTTCGATCAGTCTTCCAAGGTACTTCTTTTGCTGCTCTTTATTACCCGCAATAATAACCGGCGTTTGCTACAAATTGGATGTAATATAATAAACCGCTATAAATAACAAAATTTGTATATTCAATACCCCCAATCCGCTAGCTTCTAAAGCAGTCATAATCCCGGTACAAGCGTATGCCAACTCTTCAGCAACTAAACATCCATCGAAAATACTACTTGCCAAACCACCTAAAGTATTGCGTAGTTACTACCCCTTCTGAATTAAATACTAATATAAATTTACCGCAATGTTCTGGGATGTGTCCATTCATCAGACCCAAAGCGTGGGCTTTCTTTATAATTGGCCATGGATATTTTCCGGATTTATCGTATTCTCCAGCAACAGGAACGATTTCTTCACGCGCAAACTTTCTGGCAACGCTTTGAAACTCCAGCTGCGTTTCGTTCAGTTCTAAATAGTAATCGTATTCATCAAAATAATATTAATATAAAACGTTTATTTCAACAAACCAAAATTGTAGCCATTGGGATGCGAACTAGCGTACCTAAGAGCGCCCAAATAATTTGGCTTGAAGATATTTTGTACCTAAAAAATAATAAATTGATATACATGTACTATATTCTAATTGGAATTACTGTACCTGCTTCAACATCTTGCTTACTATAGGCGATTAAACTGCAGACTTGCCTCACGATCATGAATCGCGTACTTTGCTCTTTGTACTTTAGATTGAAGATTGGGAAATGAAGAAAAATGCATACAATAATCTTGTGAACGTATTTTTATCAACAATGTTAATATATGCAATTTTGATGTAAATACAAATAAGTCACAACACATGATTATGGTTTATATTGAAAATAATTTTATCTACATATGTAATAAGTTCAATAAGAATTAAATTTAAAAATTATAAGAATACAATTGCAGGATATCATTTCATACAAATTTATTGCCATAATATACAAATGTGTATAATATTAATCTTTAAAATCCTTACAAAATTTTTATTTATGTAACAAAATATTGTCACAAGTAATTGACTCGTTCAAAAAATAATAGGTCTTACTACATGAAATAGCAATACAAGATAGCAAAAACGAATATTACAGAGTAATGTATTAAATGTTAACTATTTGATTTAACTAACTATAAATGTGAAATACTTAAATAAGTCACAATAAATTGAACAAGTTCGGATATTGTTAATAACTAATGTTTTCTGAATTGCTTTTTGAATTTTTCGTAGTAATAATCATCAGAGGCTTTGTCGTCTTTTTTACCCTTGCCATCTTTTCCATTGTTCTCTACCTTTATTCTCTTCTTGGGTACTTCACTTTCCACATTAACTAGAAAATAAAGAAAAAAAATATAAAAACGATATCGAAATACATAATAAATAACTTACATCTATTGTGTTGAATAAAATTAACAGCCATATTGGATGGCACAAACTGAGATGGTCCATCCTTTTTATTCATATTTTCTCTAAGCAAATTCAATTTTGCCTCTTCTGTTGCTTCAATATTCTTGATCTTAGCTTCAATACCTAAATCAACCTCAGGAATACCACTCAACATCTGATTTGATAACATCTCTTCTGATCTATGAGTGGAAGATTGTCTCAGATGTGAAGGTACTGCTTGTAAAGCAGCTTCTTCAGGACTCCTATATTTCAACTTGGCCTCTTCATCACCACTCTGTGAGTCATCTTCATCTGATTTGTTGCCTTTACGTTTTGCTAATTGTTCCTCAATATATTTCATCATTTCCTCATCCTCATCACGTTTATTGGTCTCAACTGAGAATTGTGTTCCAATGCCAGTGTCATAAGCATCTTCGACTTGTTTCATTTTACCAGATTTTAGGGCTTTCATATTGACCATTCCACCACCTTTTATCTTAAAAGGATCTTTCTAAAACAGATATAAATTCAACAATGTATGATCATCTATTAATAATAATTTTCAAACTTACAGAAATTGCTTCTTCTTCTGCAGATATCTTTTTACCCAGTGCCAAGCTGAGTACATTAACACCATTTTGTCTCTTCCGTAGGTTTTGAATATCCTTTAAATTATCCAACTTCAACCTGCAATAAATCTGTAATAATTTCACCTTTAAATTGTTGTAACCTACAAACCAAAACGACATGAATATCGTTTACCTAACGTCGTCTTCATCTTCGCTATCGGATTCTTTCTTCACTCGCAAATTCTTCCTTTGTTTCTTCTTGAATTTAATAATTTCTGGTTTAATTTCGTTATCAGACATCTTTAATTGTCTCTAATCGATGGTTTAAAATTATATTGTACAAAATACTGAAATACTATTTGATTCGAAAAACCGAATAACATTGAATTGAATATCACTAACAATTCTGAAATCAATGTGACCAACTGTAACAAAGAAATGATTAAAATCGCCATCAAACATAATAAATTACTGTGTAACTGGTTATATAATTAATTTTATTATATTTTAAATAAATACTAAAGCAATGTATTGTTCTACATCTATATTGTATATCTTACTATATGTATTTTATTAAATTTCTTGAAAATAATTTATTTAATAAGTTATATGCACCCAAATCAAAATACTTTTGTTATAATTTGAATGATAACTATTTGTATTTAAAAATCTGTTTTAATTTTTCAAATGTACGTTTTATTATGCATTTTTTCTTCAAATGTATTGATTTATTTTCGTTTAAGATAGACTTTGAATAACAATTGCTGCCAACATAAAGTTGTGAAAATCACTAGGACTTACCCCTTATTACGTAAACTGTCAAAAAGTGTGATAATTCCTCGGTGTCAGGGGATTCTCTTGTAGGAATTATCTTCATTTAGGGCACAGCCGATTGACTAATTTATTATTTTATGTAAGTGGGATAGGATGAATCTAAAATACTTGTTCATAATTGTTGAGACGTTAAGTAATGAACCTTCGTCCTCAGGTCAACATGGCTGCTACTGTGGGAAGGATATGTGCTGGTGCAGGTCTCCTAAAAACATCCAACGGGGCCGTTTTTAACCAAGTAAGTTAGGTTCTAATTGGATAGTAATACTTCCTTCACAAATCTAATCCAAAATATATTCGGTTTTTAATAAAAATCATTCACAATAATCTATTATCCTGACAGGTTAATGGTTTATGTAATCATCCCAATAGCAATTATTATAAAACACATTCCAATCTCTAATTGTAGCAATTCATTTTAGATAAATGCATTTTCAACAACCAGGGAATGGAGCAAGGGGCGCAGAATGGTATTTTCTTAAAAATATTTCAAGTTTATAGGTTGGAAATCTGGACTTTTTTTGTTGTTGTTGTAGGTTCTTGCTACAGTTGGAGCCTTAGCTGGAGGAGCTGGAGCTCTCATGTTTGCTTTGGATCAATCTGTCAAGGCCTCCGACTTGGAATTGCATCCACCAAAGAACCCATGGAGCCACTCTGGTCTCATCAATTCCCTTGATCACTCTAGGTACACTTTAGTATCCATTACTTATCAAACATGTATTTTTAACAATTATTATCGTTTTTAGTGTGAGACGTGGTTATGAAGTGTACAAGCAAGTTTGCGCTGCTTGCCACTCTATGAAATACATCGCTTACCGTAACTTGATCGGTGTATCCCATACTGAAGACGAAGCCAAGGCTGAAGCAGCTGAGATGATGGTAACCGACGGTCCCGATGAAGCTGGAAACATGTTCCAAAGGCCGGGCAAGCTCTCCGACTACTTCCCTAACCCCTACGCCAACGAGGAAGCAGCTCGCGCTGCCAACAATGGCGCTTTCCCGCCAGATCTTTCCTACATTGTATCCGCTCGTCACGGAGGTAATTTCGAATGACTAGAGATGTTAAGAAAATCAAATAATATTTAATATTTTAGGCGAGGATTACATCTTCTCTCTCTTGACTGGATACTGTGATGCCCCAGCTGGCATAGTATTAAGAGAGGGCCAGTACTACAACCCGTACTTCCCTGGCGGCGCCATCTCCATGGCCCAAGCCCTCTACAACGAAGTTCTCGAGTACGAGGATGGTACTCCAGCCACTGCCAGCCAGTTGGCCAAGGACGTAGCCACTTTCTTGAAGTGGACCGCTGAGCCGGAACACGATGACCGCAAGAGAATGTTGATCAAGGCAGCTGGCATGTTCTCCTTCCTTCTTGTCGTTACATACTACTTGAAGAGGCATAAGTGGACCAACATCAAGACCCGCAAGATCGAGTTCAAACCCAGGAAGTAACCCTGTGAAATAATAGCAAATTAAGATAATTACAAGAAAATACAAAAAAAAGAAGATTATTAGAGGATGCTGTTTGTTGGTATACCAACTGTGCATTTCCATTCGTTCACAAGCGCAGCATTTTCTTTTACTAGACAATTCCCTAGCACATATACATACACTCAATTATCAGAAATAATAATAAATTAAAATATTTTTTAATTTTATTCGATCCAGCGTTTTACGTCAATTCTGCGGAAAAAATCTTCTAGTCTGATATTCTTCTTCTATTTTCCTGTGTAAATACTTGATCGAAAATAAAACAGCAATTTGAGGACGTCAATTTTCAATTAAATAAATGCCATCTTTAGACTGTAGTTTTTATAACTATGTTATTGAAAGGTAAGGTAACTTAATTTATTTATATCAATTAACATTTTTGCTTACTTTTATTATTTTCAACAATATATATATTTTTCGTAATATATATAAAAAAAATCTTATTATAGTATATGTTTCATCAAAATTAACCTTATTTCAAATTGCTCCCTTTGGTTTTATCACAGTTCTGATTTTATCCATTGCAAACAATACTGTTAACTGAGCTTATTTCTTCTGTTTTTTTGTTTTAAAATGAAGTTTGACTTATATTTCGAATTAACTGAAGCAATAAATCAGTATTTTTTATAATAATTAACAGACTACAACAAAAAGCGGAACAATATCTTCTCACGACCGGTTAAATGTATATAGCAAAACAGGAAATCGATTAATTGTTGTACAATTTATTTCAGCATAATCATGCTTTCATGAGATATGATGAACATATATATATATACTTGTTTTTATCGTCCTACACAATTGTACGTTAATAATAAACTTTAGCTATTATGACAGACATAAAATAAATGGACGTAAATCGTTATCTTTGAATTTTATTTAAATTTGAATAATGTGCGTTGCAATTATTAAATTAATACCATTTTTACAATGACAACATTGAATAAAATTCCTCGGTTTACGCCGCAGTTCCGTTCCTACAAAAGCCGGCGTAAAATGAACCCATATTTACAGTGAGATAGGTTTAAATTGTACATAAGTGAAAAATAAACAAATAATTTTGTTTATTAATACAAAACAAGCGGCGTTATTGTGAATCGGCGTAAACCGAGGGTAACTGTAGTGATATTTTGTTATTTACTAATATATTAAATAATAAAGCAGAAAGGCCCAGGACCATATGTCTGGTTCAAATTGAGTCAATTAAAATGTATAAGTAATATTTTTGACGATGGAATGACAAACAAAAATTGTTTAATACACCATAATTAGTTTAATATTTGTGTAAGTAACTTTAGAATGAAATACTATAAAAATATAAATAATAACAAAATTCAAATATTGTAAATACTATATTTAATATATCATTTTTAAATGATAAGATTCAAAAGATTTCCCCACAAAATTTACATATGTAAATTGTCTTTTCTTATTTTATTTACATAAGAAACTTTGCACCTTTTCCTTATTAGTTTTCCTGTTTCTGATATTCACACAATAATATAATGTATCTGCAGTGGCTCAAAATGATGAATATAAGATTTTGATGGTCATTCTTCGTGAACTTCTTGAATCTGATGTATTTCGTAAAGCCTAAAGGAGTTGATTAAATGCAGAGCAACTTGTTTAGATAATTTTCTCGTTTTTCTATACATCTGATAACAACTAAGAAACTAATCTGCACGATTTCATATATTGATTATGCAGGTTGGTTTTTTTTATTAGATTTCCATAATTGTACTAGTATTTCGCCTTTCGTTTAAACTTTGATATACATATTCTTATTCATATTCATATTTATTTCAAGTAAATTATCCATGCTTATAAATGCTTGAAATTGTTGCTAGGAGATGCCAGTTCTGTTATCGTATTTTCTATGTTTTGCCCGACACCAAAGTACAATTTAAATTTTGAAATATATCCAGCAGTATAATCACATACCCGAATTAATGGATACTAATTTTGTTATTTTACTGTGAATATATACTCTGAAGCTCAGTCTCCCACGCCATAGTATAATGTCTACGTTTTGTCCTAGTTTATAACTTTTGTCGGAAAATATTGGGAGTCAAAGTTTTAGAAAATATTAGCAGATTTCAATAGTCCCATAATAATAAAGGAACCACTTTTTTAGTTCAGAAACAGTTTTTTCAATTTTTTTTGAAATTTTAAACTTCTATCATTTCTGTACGTGATATTTATTCATTTCTGTGACTGAATATGCTGAAATATTTATTTCTGGGTGGGTCAAAATCTGACCATCAATCACTTGACGAATACATTTACCTGCGAAAAACATTGCATATCTACAAATGAATCATGTTTCATTATTATTTTCATTAGGTATATCAGATAAAGTATACGCATTCTGTTTTTCAAAACAAGAGGAGAAATAGAGGAGTTTCGTTTTCCATGATAAATCGAATTTTATTTAAAAAATAAAATACAAATTTGGTAAAACAAAATTTCACCACACTATTTTTGTTGAATTTTATATGAGGTAAAGCAGATATTTCTTTCTCGGCGGCGCCTAGTACAAGGAATAATATTTTATATAAAAACTATCATGTTTCGCATTTTAATTACTAAAAAAACTCATCAGAATTTATATAGAATGTTCCATATCAGTTTTCCTGATATATGAATAATAATATCTAATGAGTTTTAAATATGCTCCGGTGTACCTGGGTGTACCTTCCATTATGCCATTTACCACTTCTACAACTAAAAATGATTACGGAATACTTAACTGCCAACTGTAAAAAAATTCTATATACACGCAGTTGATGACAAATATATGTATATATACGTGTTACTTCTTCATGATCGCAATTGATGAAATGAAACAAAATATTTGTACCGGCATACAAACATAAAAGTTTACTTATCACAAAGTAAACATTTTAAAAAAGTTCCGAATGGTTCCGAATCCATCCGAATTCTGAGGAAAATTCTTCTCTCCAGCCGAACCGAACCCTATTATACCAACTGTTTTGAACCATTTTGTTTGTTGTGAAATGTCCATAACAGCTGCATCAGGTGAGGTCACACTGACAGCCATAACAGTGACTGCTAACAATAATAATAATGAGTGCAAAAAGGAAATGTGAAGGTGATTCTATCATCAAAAAACGTAATTGGCTCACTTTAGAACAAAAACTCGATATAATCAGGCTTCATGAAGAAGGTGCATCATTTGCTAAAATAGGCCGTGAAAAGGGAATGGTCGAGTCATCAGTTCGAAAACTTATCAAAAAGAAAGATCAATACAAATCGCAAGGTATGGCTACGGCTTCTTATTTATCAAAAGTAGTGACTAAAACCAGAAGCACTCGAATGGTAAAAATGGAGCGACTATTATCCATATGGATAAACGACTTAAACCAAAAACGAGTTCCACTTAGTCAAATGGAAATTCGAGCCAAAGCAGTAAGTCTTTACAACGACCTGAAGACAATTGATAATGTAGAAAACCAAGGTGGTGGAAGTAATGAAAATTTTACGGCAAGTCGTGGTTGGTTTTTCCGTTTTAAACAACGAACTGGTATTCACAATGTTCGTGTCGGCGAATCTGCCGGTGCAGATAAACCATGGCATGAATTATCGTCAAGCAATATGAGGGCCGAATGGAAACATATACCACAATGTGCAAATGACTTTATTGAAACTCATTTTGCTGAAGTCACTAATAACTTAGTGGAAATTGGACAGAAACTTGGCTTTAAAGAGTTAGATTCAAACATCAACGTCAACGTTGACTGCACCGAATCGAACACTATTGAACTAGACAATGAAACGCTTATTAAAATATATGAACAACGGGCTTATCAAGAACAGGAGGACAACGATGACTGCGTTGAAGTGCCTGTACGAGAATTAACAGCTGAACAACTATCAAAAATTATTGGAATGGTTGGAACCTTGTCAGATCATATTATGGAAGTTGATCCCAATAATGAACGTAGCATTGCAATTCGTGAAACGTTAAACAATGCAATTCATGGCTACAAAGAAGTATATTCAAATATAAGACCAAAGGATAAATATGTGCAGACATCAATATTGCAATTTTTAAATAAAAAATGAATTACGAAAATCATGCATTTTAAAATTATTTCTAATAATAAACAATGAATTTATTTGGAACCAATTCTCATGTATTTAGTTCCTCAAATAATCCTTTAAAACTGTCACTGATATTGGGGGAATCGATTACCCGCATTAAGCGACTTATTGCTATATATTAGTTGTGATGCCATCGTTTTTGATTATTTTTTTTACCATTTGCATTCAAATGTTAACATTTCACTATTATTATCTATATGAGCCACAGTTTGGCCACCCCTGATCTATATATAGTCCATATAATTGAATTAAAACCAAAGAGAGTATTATTATAATTTAAAGTAAACAAGATGATCTTAATAATGCATTGAAGGTTTGATATATAGTTAATGCAGATTGTCATTGATTGCTAATATGTATCTAATTGTGAAGGAAATATAACAAATAAAGTTATTGTGTTTGGCAATATTCGAAATGGGTAAAAATACTGGGTAATCATTAACATTACTGACTGTTAGTAAATTATGTTTAACGATCCATTAAGTTATTTTGTACGTTTCCTAGACTGTTTTTAATGTAATAAATAATATTTTAAATAGAAGTCATCCAAAGAAAATTACGAAATACAATATATACAGATCGATATACCGATTCAAGAAGAAGACAAGGAAGTCAGAAAACTAATTTATCATCAATTTAATATCGTAATAACTTGTTGTGTATACAGAGTATTAAATAAATGTATTCATCGTTGGGACGTGAGTGCTGATAGTAGTACGATGAAGGTGACGACGTCGATGTCTGAAGATAATTTGAACTTTATTACGGTAATCGTAAAGTTTTCTAATTGTTGTGGTTTCATTCCGCGTTGCAATTACATCAAGAAGCCAAGACTTCTTTTATTATATCGTGCATTATCTGCCCTGATGATCTTCATTGTGGTTTCGATAAACGTTTACTTCTACGTATGTAGGCAGGACGAGTTCTACGGTGCCACAATTCTCAACACGTTCGTTTTCGTGAAAGGATTCTTCATAAGCGCATCATTGTTAAATGGATACACAACTGCCATCATAAGGAATACAGAGGACTATAAAAGGTTCATGCATTTGACTATAGAATGTTGTAAGCTACATGGAAAACACAATTACAGACAATTCTCAGTCATATTCTGGATTGTTTCCTTCAATGTCTACTTAATCGGAGTGAATGCATACAACATTTATTTATGGAAATACAACGTTGGTTTGGATAAGACGAAGTATCTAATATTTCAAGGCGTGCAAGGATATCTTTTTTACATGATTTCTATGTACCTCTTCTCTTACATAATCTTTATAAAGCGCACTCTGACTGCTGCTCGGAAAATGCTGCAATATTGGATGCCGCAACAAAGCCTGAAGAGGTTGAAGGAGATCATATTCTCTTTCAGCACTATTTGCGATCTAATGGATGGCTTCAATGACATATTTGGCATCCAGCTATTCCTTACCTTGATCCTATTACTATACGACATTATCTTAACTATAAACATTATAATCGTATCGGATTTCAAGGAGAACCATCCGAATCTCTTTGTAGTCCAGATATTTTGGACCTTTACGTTGATCGTAAGTGAAGAATTAAAATAAACTGTCATTCAATTAATTATTGTACTTTTAGATTCCCGGAATATTGGCTGCTACCTTTTGTGAACAGATGAAGTACGAAATTCGTAACGTGAAAACGATCTGCACCAAAGCTGCTTCAATGTACGATAAGGAAATTCGCGATCAGTTTACTGCGCTCCTGGATACGCTTAACAATAGAACGTCGAATATTTCAGCTGGTGGATTCTTCTGTATTGATCACAACTTACTCTTCACTCACGTTAATATTCTGCTGACTTATTTAATAGTTGCTGTACAATTTTCTTCCTCTAAAACATAATTGCAAAGCTTCAGATTCTTGTAATTATTTTACACAAAACATTTTAAAAATATTTTTATTTTATAAACAAATTTTGAAATAAAAATTATCTTTAATTCCGTACATTATAACGCAATAGAACTTCTGGTAAATATTACAAACATTAATAAAAGTTTATGTAACATATATAAATAATAACATTTGAACAATAATTTAAAATATAACACAAAATGTTATAAATTAAGTATTAATTTGTGTATTTGCTTTTCAATCATTTACAATTATTTATTTACAACTGTAAATTATATTAAATATATAAATTGCTCTAAATCTCTTTTCTATTAAATAATATATATTATAATTCATATATTATGTTATTGTATTCAGTTTATTTTTTAGTGTTTTAATGTTGCAATAAAAAATCTTATTGTTCTGTATTAGATATTTTATATGTTACGTTTGACTTTGGATGTAATTTTTGTTTTTTCTTTATTCTAATTATTATATAAATAAGATATAAATATGAATTTGTATTTATGAAACAAAAAAAATAATAAAATGATAATATTTTTTGCATTGAAATATCTTGAAATTTTTTAATCATTTTTTATTTTAATTTAAGTAACAATACAAAATATTGTTTCTAGAAAAGATACTTATCATTTTTTTAGGTCAGTATTCATTTGTAATACGTTTATTTAGCAAAAAAATAAAATAAATAAATGGTAATTATATATTTGATTAATGTCATTAAATGTAGGAACAAAAGATAGATAAATAAATATACCGTGAGCATGAAACAATGTAGATCAATTTAAGTCATCAAATATTAATTAGAATAATAAACAAACAATGAGTACATTACTTAATTAAATACATTGATCGTTAAGAGTGTTTTGTGAGTGGAGTTTTGTAGTCTCCTGGTAATAGCTTCGATATACAAAGCAGCACAAAATAATTAAAATATCATATTTATATTAGTAAGTTAGAAATTGCCGTTTGTTTTTTTCTCTTGATTTATTGCTTGTTATGTGAGTAGTTAGAATAATTATATTAATAATTTTTAGAATGTTAAGTATAGACCTTTAACCTTATTAAAATAGATATTAAACTTGCAGTTTATTTTAAAATAATACCAATCTTAATGAATTAAATTTTTCTGCGAAAAGTGTATAATTCTAGACAATATTTAGAATTCCTAAAAGTATTAGTCATTTTATTTAACGAGTTTAATTTTGCACATTGTTTAAGAATCGAAGATTTTTTCGATAAAGTTCACTAATTAAGTCAATAGTCTTTGTATATTTGTATACAATAAATTTTGTTTATCTATTTTCCTAATTCGACGCAAAATTATACAAATTTCAGAGCATTATGCACTTTGCTACTAAAAAAAAAATTCATGTAAATATATTCGCAATTGGTAATAAATCAAATATTCATACAAATATTTGAATTATTATTATTGATCCTTTCATTTTTGTTAATCGGCAATACTACAAGTTCTAGTATGGTAATTACGAGAATTTATTAAAACAATATTATGTATGTTTGCGTTTATGAAAATATAAACAGATCGTTAAGATTATAAAATATATATTTTAGCATTGAATAACAAAATGAAAGTTTTACATATTAATAATTTTGTAGTTTGATTATCTAAACATTATAGTTTGTGACTTACATCATGCATGATATTTTTTGTATTAATAGGTTTAAATGTAATGTGCTCAAATATATTAATTAATTTTAAAAATTTGGTAAAAATGTATTCTTTAAAGGAAAGTAAGGTAATTTAAGGTATTTTTGATTAGATTTTAGATTCTTCCAAAATTGTGATGTGTATCAGCCTTGAAACTGCAAGGATCGATTATATTAATTTTGTAGTTTGGTCACCAAACAAAATAATTTATTAAATTAAATATACTGCCACATTTGAATTCAATAAATCCAAAATATATGTTTTTAATGAAATATTGATAAAAATGTTTCTTATTAATTACAATAAATACACAATTAATTTCAATTATAAAAATAATTTTGATTTAATAATTTAGTTAGCTAAAATTTGGATATACAATATTGAAATATATTATACAATATTTGTAGTTTTTAACTGTATTTTGTATTTTTTTTAATAATTATTTAAAACTAATAATAATACGTTATTAGGTCTCGTTTAATAGAATAGTTAATTCTAGTTCTTAATAAATAATTTATGAACGCATTTCAACGCGATTAAAATGTATTATAAATAATTAAAATATGGATGGAAAAATTGCGCTGCATTTGCACATTGTAATTGCAACAAAGAAATATTAATTAAAATTTACTGTATTGATTTACTAATTAATAATTACGAGAATTTAATTTACATTTACATATTTATAGCTGAATCCGTGTATGTTAGAAAATCGTGTATCTTAAATTTAACAATAATAACAAAAATAGTTATTGTATGCATAAAATAATATATATTGTTAATTTTAAGAAATAAGCACTTCTTAAGTAGAAGTATAAGTATAAAAATCCGTGCAATTATTAGGCTGTCTACTACAGATAAGTGTTTTCACATTCATAAATACGTATTATTTTTTCGTCAATAAATTAGTCGGTTCTTTCACGAACTTGATCAATGCGTGTGATAGAGACTATACAGTTCCTGTTTATCTATTTATTTAATACTTTTAATAGCATAATGAGTGTATATTATGATTGTCATAACACGATATGAATTCTATTTCAAATAGGTGACAATTCACGAACACGATGGGTGTGGGTAACTTGGGCTTCATACACATGTTCCTGAAGTTCAGCTCCTTGCTGGGATTCGTGCCCTTCTGCGATGCCAATGGACGACCTAAAAGTCTTCTGTTTAACCAAATCCTAGCCATCATCATCTGCTTGATCACTTTAGCATCGAAGCTATATTTCGATTCGATTAAGTATCCCAACCTAGTCGAACCAGACTTAATCGTGAAGATTGGTTGCATCAAAGACGGTCTGCTCACCTGCACCATTTTAAATGGGTTTCTATCGGCGAACGTTGTGAGCGTCAGAAACTATTTGCAATTGCGATATTTGACCAACGAGAGCTGCAAATTGTATTGCACCAACACGAATAGATTGAAGCCGTTCTTCATTATAGTAGCTTACAACTTTTACATTATCAGTTTGATTGTTTACGATTTGTACGCTTCGAAGAATTACGTGGAAGGAATACACATCTTCGTAAACATCGAAACTTACCTTGCCTACATGTTTGTCTTATACATACTGGCTTATTTTGTGTTCATTGGATGCACTATAGAGAATTTCAAGAAGAAACTAGACGATTGGTCGTCGATTTATCCTTTGAATTTGAAAGAGCTTCAGGTCATCAGCTCTTCGTCGCAAATATTCTGCGATTTGATTAATAACTTTACTAAAGTGTATGGAATGCAAGTATTTTTGGTTATGATGCTTTCGCTGCTGGATATTTTAATGACCATAAATACCATACTGAGCGCAGAACTGCAAGACTACCCGAAACTTGTAGAAATATTTGTTTGGTGGACTATAACACTATTCGTACTACTATAACCAAATATATGTTGATATTATTACTGATGTAATTTCTATTTTAGATACCAGGCATATCTGCAGCTTATTTGTGCGAAACTATTAAATCTAATGTGCAAGACGTCTTGGATCTATGCTCGAGAAACATCTACCGTTATGAAGGAGATATACAAAAGGAATTTAAATTGCTCGCCAATCAAATAGTTTTAAGATCTCCAAAGATGTCAGCTGCTGGATTTTTTGTCATCGATCATAGTTTGCTTTTCACACTTTCCAATATGCTGGTCACTTACTTAGTAGTTTTAGTTCAATTAACCCATAGCTAAACTAAAATCAATATTTTCTAACAAATACCACTTAATTAATTTATTTTTAATTGTAATTGTATGAAAATAATAATATAATGTATATCAAAATTAAATGATCTTTTAATTATATATTAATTTTCTAATTATCACGTTTTAGTCATGTTGTTTGGTTACCATGGTAAATTGTTTGCTCGAAGCCAAACCGCGTTCTTTTCACTGTAATTCTATTTGGCAGCTATGGATCTGACGTTTCCATATGAGAAAAAGCGCAGTGAATTTGGTAAGCAATGCATGTTCAACGACAGAGGACCAGAATTGATAGACAGTTGTCCGTCTTCGCTGAGGGTTTCCGTGGATTTCATCAGAAGGTAACCATTTACAAAATTGCAGAATAACTCATTCTTTATACAAACGAAATTTGCAGAAATCCAGTGAATACGGGTGTGCAAAATTCAAAGATCCAGGCAGAACATGAAATCAACACGTATCGCGCGGAATATAGTAACGCGCTGATGAACCATGTTGAAGGTGGATGGCCAAAAGATGTTAACATCGCAGACGAAGAGCAGACCAAGCGGTATCGCAGGAAGGTCGAGAAGGATGAGAGTTATGCGCATATTATGCAACAACTATGCAAGGTTGCGTATTATTTTTTTTACATATTAAAAATACACATAAATTTTATATATTTTCATATACGTTTCAGAATATGGAAAATTGCATTCTTCAAAATAACGCTATCAACATTTATCAACAATATTATACAGATGTTGAGCCAACGCCACTCACAGAGCCTTGTACAGCAAGAACTGTTAACGTTTTTCAAGACCAATCATCCCTGAAGCGACCGGTGACGAACATGTCATGGTCTCCGGATGGTGGTAGCAGAGTAATTGTATGCCATTGTAATCTCGTGTATCAGGCTAACATTCAATCCAAGCATCATCATTCCTACGTTTGGGAATTAGGTGAGTTTCAGGTGCAACATTAGAAACAAAAATTCTGAAAAGACTCAACTGAAATTGTGTTTCTTTATTTTATTATTCATATTTTATTTCATATATTATTCAAATACTATTTATACGTGTCTCAGCGTTTTGTTATGTGAATCAATTTTAGGCATGAAATATCCTTTTACTTATTCACTATTTTATTTATGAGTCATTATTACCTAGTATTGAACTGTACATATTTTTTTTTTGTAATATATTTTTTTTGTTATATTGTAATATAATAATTATATATTTTGTATTCAGAGAATCCAAATACGCCTCAAATGATTCTAAATCCGCCGACTCAATCAGTGTGTATAGAATACAATCAGAAAGATCAAAATTCCTTGGTTAGTGGTCAATACAATGGACAAGTTGCCGTATGGGATGTACGTCGAGGAAATGAACCGGTTGATTTTAGTGTGATGGAGTGCAGTCATAGAGATCCGGTGAATAGTATTCTTTGGATAAACTCAAAGTCTGGAACAGAATTCTTCAGTGGTTCCACGGATGGTACCCTGAAATGGTGGGATACCAGAAAGATGAAAGATCCTTTGGAGACACTTATACTGGATGCATCAAAATCAGAGGAACAGTCAATATCCAACGCTCTAGGCTGCTCAATTCTGGAATACGAGCACACGATTCCAACTAGATTTATGGTTGGTACTGAAAATGGCTATGTTATTTCTTGCAATCGCAAGGGAAAAGCACCTAACGAGAAGATGATGGCTAGATATCATACACACTACGGTCCGGTATTGGCTTTGCAACGAAACGCCGCGTTCGTCAAGAATTTCTTAACCGTAGGCGATTGGACAGCGAGAATTTGGTCCGAGGATTGCAAAGAGAGTGCTATTATGTGGACATCCTATCACAAAGCTCGCTTATCCGACGGTGCTTGGAGCCCAACCAGGTCTCACTTGTTCTTCATTATTAAATGTGTAGGTTTGAAAGCTCTTTTTAAAACCTTAGATATTCGGTATTTTATACCGCAAGATCCGACGGAATTTTGGATGTATGGGATTTGCTGCAAGATCAACATGCCGCCACGATAGGTGTTAAAATATCCGATGAGCCATTGACGAAGTTAAAAACTAACGAAGGTGGTCGTTTGATATGCGTGGGAAATCAAATTGGAACAACTTACATCATTGAATTCAGCGATAATTTGAGTTATTCCAACAAAAACGATAAGGCTCTTCTAACAGCCGTAAGAAATTGATGTCGTGGAATGCCTTTAAATACCATAATTATCAATATTTTTTTAAGATATTTGAAAGAGAAACTAGAAGAGAGAAGATTTTGGAGGCACGTAACCGAGAGATTCGTCTGAAGCAGAGAACTGCTAGGAGTTCGACGCAATTAGCCGAAGAACAAGTGGATACCGATGATACCTCTTTCGAAGATCCAAATGTTGTAGCAGCAGAACAGGAGTTCTTTGCTATTATCGAAAGGGAAACCAAAGTTGAAGAAGGTACCCAATATTATTATTTCGATTACATATGTATTTCTATTATTATTTTTTTTCATTTAGAAGAAGAAGAGGAGGAGGAAGAAGGGCAAGAGAATCTAGAGCTACTTCAAGGATTTGATACAGAGGACGAGGTCAAACCTTAGATATTATTTTATTGTAAACTTTTATTATTAAAGCAAAACAAATATATTTTTGAGATATTCACTACCTGAGATGTAACAAAACTGATCTATAACTGTTCAAGAATTTTGCTATTGAAATATACGAATCACTATTTGAAATTAATTTGATCGATATGCCATATTATGCCTGTTAATGGTACCATGAATTCTAATACAAATTATTACTTTTTTTGTGTTCAATTATCTCCATTCTCATAAAAGCACTCAATATTCATACGAACTTACACACTTTATCATTATAAAAGATAAGTAAACTATATATTTTCGTTATTATTGACTTTTTGTTACACGTATTTAAAACCACATATTCTATATTAAATCTAAAAAACGAATATTACTGATACGTCATTGTGAAACTACGATGCGAGAAAATACATTTGAATTCATTTAATGATGTTGATGTCAGGTCTCTAATATTTATTTATCAATAAATTCACTTAGTTAATGATTTCTCTAGAGTATTAATGAGATAAATAAAAACTACGCAGTAAAGGTTTTATTTCAATTGTGATAATTGAACCATAACAACCAAATAAGAAACGATTATATTGGAATAGTTAAATAGAAACATGTTATCAATGTTTTGTAAGCCAGCAGCTGAGATTTTTGGTGATCTGGTCATAACTTGCTTTGCAAGAACCATGAACTCATTTCGAGCATCTCCGTTACATCTATAAATGTTGCGAGAGCACATATCTCGAATGCTCTTCAACTTACGTTTGATGTTTTCGCAGCTTTGAGTTCCAAGAATCACAGGCACCTAAGAAATATAAAAACTTTAACGTTTGACATTAAAATTGTATTTTAACTTACTATGCAAGTGATAGTCCAGCATATATGTGATTTAAACATCGGAGGAATATCAGTAAATTCCGTTACAAGTAAAGAATTTATTGTTATTACTATGTCGATCTGTAATAGTATTGCTATTAGAGCCAATTGCGCTCCGAAGACTTGGTTGAAATATCCAATAAGGTCGCAGATGTTATGAAAGGAAGCGCCTAATGCTCGCAACCTCCGTACGTCAGTCTGAGGCTTGGCCAAGCGCTCCAAAAAACCTTTTAGAATCTTGTCAATGAATACGAAGTAAGTAATTACAATGAAAATTGTAACGAATAAAAGATACGATTCAAAAGCTTGGAATATATAAAAGATAGTTTGGTCTCTTCCGTGCAAGTAATAAATGTCGTACGATATTAAGGTGAATAAATACAAGTTAAATGCCAAGATCACAGCTATAATGTCAAATATTTTGGAAGTTTTAAGTCCAAATAATATATCGCATCGATTCGAGCAATATATCAGTGCTTGATAACCTTTAGGATCAAATACATTCGTTGTAAGGTAACAATTGATAGCAGATAAAGTTAAGATCATTTTTCTTAAGTATGCTGCATTCCTTACGAATTTTGGCTTAGACATCATCTCCGGCGGTGAATTGAAGAAGAATGTTCCAAATATTAGAAAGCTGCTTGTAACAATTGCAACTATTTTGTTCGCTACTGGACACTTTGGTGCGCCGTCCCTCCAATCACAATACGGGAAAAGCCCCAAGCATTTGCCGAATGTTGTTATGGGTCGTAAGAAATTGAGCCTCGGCATCTTATTTTTCTTCTACTGAAGTTGCCTAGTTGTTTCGCTCAATGTATCACACAATTTCCATACCTAATTAAGTCGTCTACTTTATTTTTTGTCTCCCAATGGATCATGCAATCGCCACAAATTAGTAAACATAAATAACATTCCAGATAATCGATCTAATCACCAATACTGTAATGGCATAATTAGTTTTAATGGCGGGTAGTCAACTCAAAATATATAGTTTTGTGAGAAAATATATCATTTATGTTAACTTTATTTGCAATTATTCGAAATAAAAAAAAATATAGAGATAAAGAAGAACGATGTAAATATATACACGTACATATGGCGAGAAATTAAAAAAAATATAGATGAACTTAAAGCGGAGAAAGAAACGGAAATATTAGTTAATTGTCTTCATCATTCAAAATTTCTTCGTTATTATCGTCTACCAGATTGTTTCCATTCATTATCGGACTTGATGCAACGTTACACATGTTCAACATTTGGTTAGTCTTATTTCTCAACTCAAACACTTGCTGAATGGCTTTCCGAAAGCATAGAAAATTGTAATCGATTATGCCTAAAAACGAGAAAAATAAAAAAAAACAGTGTCAAATAATCCTATTGGAAATTAGTATCACCTTTGTGCTCAAAGTTATCTTCCCTTAAAATACAAACTAGAGCCAAGAATTTGTTCACCTCGCGCAGGTACAAGACAGTTCCATTGTTGAGTTTGATTAAGCTTGAGCTCTTCTCATCGAAGGCCGCCTCTTGATCTTCCCTCACCCCGTAAATATACGACACATCTATCACTACATCAATCATATCACAGCAGAGTTCGTAACTCTGCATATCGACCGGAGTCGAATCTGTTGCAATGTATATTTTCGATACGACATCGAACAGAAATGACTTTTCTATTGCTGAGTTCTAATAAACAGACAATTAGTATATATAAATCTGTGTGAAAGTAGTAAGAAATATTTACAGTATTAAGGATATCTAATAAGTTTTCAAGAGCAGGTAACTGAGGTATCAACTTTTGCACAACTTTGGAAAACGCTTCAAAAATTGAGTGATCATAGATAGAGGTGAGATGAAAGCTGAGGTGGATCTGATCATATCCAGCATCAATTAAACTTTCTGTAGCAGTTTGATGTATATTCCTTTGAGATTCCATCTTAGAATCATCTCCAAATCCATCCACTTTATGGATGAAAACCTCAAACTTAATATTTGAATTCGTTTTGTAAGCTTGGGTAACAGTAGAATGCAGTTGCAATAAAGCATCAGAATAATCATCCTAAAAATAACCAGTATAAGATTCACATAATATAAGTAATACTTTATTTTCATTACCTGGACATCAATAACGAAAATCAATGCTCCGCAACCACCAAAGATCATATGAGGATCAAAAGCAGAATCTACAAAATCTATTTGTCCCGGGAAATCCCAGATTTGAAATTGTACAAAGCTAGAGTTGTTTATATTGTCTTTTACTATTTTGTTTGTACTCTCTAGGAATAATGTTTCATTGGGAGACATCTTGTGGAAAACAACTTTTTGTATAGATGATTTCCCAGACCTGTATTGAATAAATTATATGAAAGATGGGCATAACTCATATTTGTTGCATAAATATAACCTTCTTAAACCCATGAGCAATATCCTTGGTTTTTGCTCACCCGTTGGGGACAGACTATTATCCTGCTCTCCCTCATACTGACCATAACCAAAGTTTTTAGGGAATGAATTTGGGTGGTCATCGTAGGGCACACTCTCTTCATCGTCCTGGTAGGACTGCAACACATTAAATATTAAAGGGAACACATGAAGAGATGATTACAAGTTACTACCATAATAACGTCGTGTTTGCTCTGGCTGCTTTGTCACTGGATAAATTCACTTAATCATAATATTTATCAACCACCACCAAAATCACAGTATTCAACAACGTTATCAACATCACATGATTTTGACAGATGACAGACATTACATTTCAATGCCAGCAGTGCAAGAGGCGCGTTTTCAATAAATTTAAATACTTTGAAACGCAGTTTCTGTAGCACATAATATATTGGCTAAATATATAGATTTAACTCTTACATTCTAAATTTAAAGTTAATAATATTAATGAATCATAAACCTTGTCTTCACTTCAATTACATATTGTACCACAATCAGTAATTAAAATATTTTTAATAGCATCTAACATCTAACAATTAGTAATAAATTCATATAATTTAGATTTTTAATTTAAAATTATACTGCAGATCAATTTGCGTCTATTTTTTAATGGTGTAGCGAACTAATGCATCTTATTAATAGAAGCATTTAAAAAATAGCCAACTTTTAAATTAGGTCAGCCGTGTGCCTGTAAACTTGTATTTATAAAAAAATTATTATGTATTTGAAAGCGACACTTGTTCATCGATTATAGAGTTTTTCTTAGTTCATCTGATTATTTAGAATTACGTAAATGATTTTATTGAGAACACAGTTTTATCTAAGTTTACCACAAAGTTAAACTATATAACTAAATATTAAAAAAAAATAAAATATATCCACGACTTTATTAAGTTTTTTTTTGTACAATTAAAAACAAGTTTAAAATTTGACAAAAAAATGTCTTTCGTCTTCACGAAATGCACCACTGTTTTTAGTTTTGATTATATGCAGTATTCCAATTTTGTTTATTTCGATAATCGTATAAAGATGGATTATCTCAATATAGGTTTAATATTTTATCTTCTCAATTTTCTTGATATATTTGATGTACACATCTATGATTAATTCGAGTAATTTTAGAATAGGTACAACATATTTTGTTTATTATTTATAGAACCGATTATAACGATTTTTAAGAATCTGAAAAATAATTTTATATGACAATTGTAATTTTCTTTATCTCTGAGGCACTATTTTTGTAACATTCCGGTTGGTCACTGGAATATACAGATCAACATTGGCAGATTGTGAGCAAGAGGTGCGCGCCTGGTGTCTATAAAATTAAGGGAGCCTCAAATCTTAACTAATCCTCATGATTACCTTAAGGTCCTTAAACGACACGTCATTAACGTTATATTTTTTTTAACTAGTTATTGGGTTCCACAAAAATATATAAATTTGAAATCAAGAATACATATACACAAACATTCAGTTAATCTGAAATAAGTTTACTCGAGATTAATGAAATCTTTATTTACTTTATTTTCCCAGTAGGGTAAATACAACAGAAGAAAAAAAAAATATATATTTATAACAGTTTCCAAATAAATTTAAATAATGATACACGAACTCAAAAAAAACCTTTGAAATCGTCAAAAACTCTTGATTTCCTGAAAAAAAGTTAATATCTTTTGCCGCGCGAATTTTATTCATATAACAGCGAATATATATATATATGTATATATTATTCAATAAATAAATTAAATCTTTTATTATTTACATTAACTAACTAAGAAGTGGTTTAGAATTAGTTGCTTTAGAAGGGCGCCGTCAAAAGCTCTTCTTGTAAGCTCTGCGAGCGGTTCAAACGTCCCCCTAGTGAGGTGGAGTCAGCGCTCTTTTCTGCATGGTAAGCCTCGCTGTATTCCTTCAAACGGTTGCCCAAAAAGACAGCCCGCTCGCGTTTCTTAATCATGGAATCAGTTGGTAGCAACCAGCGGTTCTCTTGGCATTCCTCAGCGGTTGGACGTTTGCTAAAAAAACAGTGCTTCGTATAAGAAAGAGGTTAGATTAAATTTTCAATAAATTTACTTGGGGTGTCTCTTGAAGAGAAGCATAACAAATCTGACTCCCTCCTGAGAAACTTCCTTGTACAAATGCTCGAACCTGAAGCGCACGAACAACGTGTTTTGTCTGCTTTCATTATCATCTGCTCCCTTGAACGGTAAAGTACCAGAGAGCATTACGTATGTGAGTACACCGACTTGCCAGATGTCGGTTTGGGGGAAAGCTGGTTCATCGCTCAGTACTTCTGGTGCTGTTTTATTTAAACATAATAATTTTGTATTTCCTCAAACATAAATTGTAACAGTTTGTCTTACCAACGTAGTCAGGATGGCCAACAACTGGTACTTTGTTACCGAGTTTAGTTACCCTGTGGGCACTTCCAAAGTCGACTAATTTTACTTGAACGGATCTTACCCCACACATAACAACGTTGTCAGGTTGCAAATCCAAATGGCAAAGGCCTCTCCAGTGCAGGTATTGAATACCATCCAAAACCTGAAATTATGAAAAAGTATAAATATTCTGTAAATAATAAAATAATTAGTTTGAAATACTTGTGAGACAATGATTGCCACGGTTTGTTCCGTGTATTCGTGGCGCGTGGACAAATAGGTGAGCACATCTGCACCTTGGAGTTTTTCCATGATGAACACTGAATTACCGTCGGAAGCTCTGTATGCTTCAAAAAGCGTGGCAATCCTTTCGTGACGTAGAGATCTTAATGCTGCAAATTCTCCTTCGATGTTGTCAGCTCCCAGCGATCCAGTATCGATCAACTTAGCAACAAACACTTGATCGGAGCTTTTGTCCAAAGCTTTAACGACCGCAGAGAATTTACCCCTGAACAAGAACAAAATAATTCCAATTAATCAATTCATTGCAAAACATTCACGTATTTTACCTGGCTATTTCAGAAATGAAATTGTACTTTTCTTGTGGATCTCCCTTAATCCAATCGACGGGTTTAGTTTCAACATTGTAGTCTAATTGGTTTCTTGGTTCTACAACTACTTCGCCACCAGCGTCAGTAATCTGTTGCAGGTGCATCATAGCTTTACTTATTTGCACTTTGGCTGCACCGGTTGGCTGAGTCATAATAACAGGAGAAGCGACTCCAAAATCGCTCCAGCCCATCTCGTTCTTTGCGGCTAACCTGAAAATGTAGTTCTTGCCGGCTTCCAGTTCCTTCATTAAGTAGAATTCATGATCGATGTTGTTTGCTTTATCGGACCATTCCATGTCATCGGCCAATTTGAATTGCACGCTGTAGCAAATGACAGGGGAGTGGCCATCGTGCTTAGGTTGTTTCCAGCTCAATAAGACTTCGGTATCAGACACCTGGGTTCCTTCTGGAGAATCAGGTGCATCTGGGACTGTTCCCAAGACGATCCTGGTCCTCGAGATCGTTTGACCAATCTTATTGCGTGCCACCACTTTGTATAATCCAGCATCGAATCCTAATGCTGGCGACAGCTTCAAATGGGACCTTCCATGTTCATCTACTTGAATTTTAATACGGTGGGATTCGGCAATAATTGCATCGTTCCTTAAAGTACCAAAATATATTAAATTATCTATTACAATTTATAATTTTTAAACTTACTTAAACCACTGCACAATCGGATCAGGATCTCCTACAGCCATACAGATCATTTCAAGATCTTTACCTTCTTGAAGCGCGGTTATTTGTGGCTTTTCGCGGAAGAATGGCAAACGACCTTCCATTTTACTTTCGAGGAAGGCCTCGGCTTCAGCATAGGTATCCAAACGAGTACCGATTTCGTGTCTCAACCGACGGATTGTGAATCCCATATCTCCAGTTCCGTACTTGCTAATCCTGGCTTTCCTTTCATCATCGATTTCCTCATCCATAACATCAGTAAAACGACGTCTTTCACGAATTACCGGCGTCTATAAGTTTGATCATTTATAATTTGCAAACTTTAATTGTCAATTGAAACTTACAGCCCAATCGTATCCATTCTCGTTAGACACTATGTGGGCATGGCCTGGTCCTCTACTTCCAGCAACTTTCATGTATTCACGCAAACGTACTGGGAAATCAACGTCACGTAATTGCAACAGGTATGTATCCGGTCCGTTTTGGTAGCTAAATCATAAAATGTTAATTTATTATCTACAAAATATTGACAAATATTAACATACTGGCTTTCTGATTTGAATGCACCAATCTCGTAATTAAGAGGTGATCTTGTAGGGATTTGGTCTTCCCACGTTCTTGGTTTGTGCGCGACTCTTTCTGGTGTCTTTGCTGGAGGTGGTGTCGATCTTTCTCCAGGTGGATAAACCATTCTGGATGGATGAGTGAAAGCTCCTTCCAGCGGGCGCCTCCTGAACCATTTTCTACAAGATGCGTTATCGTACCATTCACGGTACAAAACAAAGTAGTCTCTCAAGTATGTGGTGCTAATCATGTACTCGTCTCTCCAAGACTTATCGGCGCGTTCCAACCACGGGTGCCTCAAAGCTGCGTGCACATCTAACCTGCCATCGGCTTGATATATTAAAAGTTTTGAGATAAAGTCGCGACATTCCAGACTCATATTTGACCACCAACTATCTTCGAACTTCCATTTTCCGGCTTGAATGTTCATCAGAGTTTCCATGTCGTGCATTCCACGGAACGGAGAATGTCCGGAGAGTAAAATGTAGGTGATGATACCAACGCTCCACATGTCATGGCCTAAGCCTGTTCCTTCGCCATTCGCAGCCTCCGGACTCACGTATTCGGGCATTCCATATTTCAATGGATACAAACGACCCATTTGCACGCGCCTCGACAATCCGAAATCACCAATCTTCAGTTCATCGCTTCCTGGGTGAGAAAGCAACAAATCTCCAATCTAAAACAATAATCTTTTAATATCAATCGAATAAAATAAGAAATATTATTTTACGTTAAGTCCCATATGACCAAAGCCCCTCTCGTGCATGTATTGCAATCCTTGTAATAATTGTCGAATGTATCCGGCAATTTCTGATTCGGTGTAGTACTCTTGCTTGATCAAATAATCCTTAACAAGTTCGCCACCTCCAGCTAATTCCATGACTAAAGCAAGACAATCGTCATGCTCATAAGCGTCGTGCAGTGAAATCAAACGACGGTGATGCAATTGGTTCATAATCTCCCATTCATTGTACATCATAGGCTTGAGTTCGCCTCTGCTGTGCATAATCTTGGCGGCATAATTGCGACCGTTTAATCTTTCAACTGCATGGTAAGTCACACCTTGAGTTCCTCTGCCCAATTCATCACCAATGTCGTACGCATCGGAGTACGGCTTCTTCCTCAACTTAATTGGATTAGGATTGTTGTATGTCCTTATGTTGTATTCAAGATCGTTCTCCTCGATGTGTAGCATAGCGCTGGAGGAAATGCTTCCGGCAACGTTACGTGCACTCACCGAATACAATCCTTCGTCTTTGAAAATGGCGTCATTGATTACCAAAATAGCAGTATCGGGTTCCATAAATTGAATCTATAAACATTCAAATAAATAATTTAAAATTATTTTCTATTAATTTTACTTTACCTTAATACGAGTTGAATTAGCAACCGGTTTCCAATCACGATACCATTTGATTTCTGGATATGGCACTCCTAAGATTCTAGCTTCAAATCTTGCTTTACCTCTCACCATTACATACTCAATGTCCGGTCTGCGGATGAAGATCGGAGCTTCGGCAATCTCCAAACGAACTCTCTGTCTTGCTTCGCCGTGCTCATTTGTGGCTACAGCTTCATACCAACCTACGTCTCTCTCCAACATTTTGTTTATGAAGAGCGTTGCTTGTCCGTTTCTTGTGTAGCTCATGTCAAACCTACCACCGGGTTCGATCAGTTCATCATTGAAATAATAAGCCATCTTTGGTTTTGGATATCCGTACACAAACCAGAATAGATTGGTGTTTTGGTCTTTGACACCGTACTGAGCATCGTGTTCTTGACGTAAAAAGCGTGGTGCTTGAGCCATGTTATCATGAGGAGGTCTATCGATATCGAAATCTTTCGGGAAGTACGGAGATGTCTCTGGTCGAAAGTCGATGCCAGGCGGTAAGTATGGCATGAACTTGATTGGTTCTGGCTCAAGTTTTTCGCGGTGTGTCATCGCGTAGGGCGAGGGATCGCTGATTCCATACTTATTCTCAACGCGCACCCTGAATTTGTAATCGCGGAATGGTTCCAAATTGCGGACATCGCAACAACAGCTGCGGATTCCGGAGCGAACGGTGAACCAATCACCATGTGGATGCTCAAGCATTTCCAGTTGATATGTGACTGGGAATCTTGGCCCTGAAGGAATAGATGGCTTCCACGAAAGGGTACAATGTCTGTCGGTCATCCGCGATATGATTGGGGCATCGGATAGAGGCATTGGGGCTCCGCTCTTTTTGTATTTATCGAAGTCTGAGTATTGATCGGTTATTGGTTTCTTGGGTCTAGCTTCCATGCCCTCATCAAACCTGAGATAAGCATCACAGCTATCTGATCCGTGGTCGTTGTAAATCTTGCAAGTGTATTTTCCAAGATCATCCTGATCAACGCCGGCTACCGTTAAACGCAACAAACCATTCCTGTCCATTTCCATTTTGATTCTATCAGCTGGGTACATTCTTTGATCGTTTCTATACCACTCAACTGTAGGTTCAGGAATACCAGCAGCACACGCGGTAAACTTGGCAGTCATTCCCTTGTATAATTCGGTATCTCCAATACGTTTTACAAAGTTAGCTGGTTCAATCTTCTTTTGAGTTTTACTAAAAATTGAGAATTATTATAATTATATAATTATTTTTAATTCGTTATGAATTACATTTCTTTAACGACTTCCAAACGAGCCATGCATGTGTCTTGACCCTCCTTGTTAGTGGCTGTAGCCGTGTATGAGCCTTCATCTTCTGGTAGACAATTTGCTATGTAAAGACAGCAAGCATCTCCATCCCGTTTAATACGATATTTGTCGGAATCGCGCAAAGGAACACCGTCTTTACTCCAACTAACTTCTGGCTGTGGAACTCCCGAAACTCTAACAGGGAATTTAGCATCTCTTTTTGGTAACTGAAATTGATCTTATAATTAATGGGATCAATTTGTTAATATTATGATATAAACCTGTTGTAAATCTGTGAATCTTTGGGTAAAGCTAGGTGCTTGGAAAACTTTATGAACTGATGCTTTGGCTTGCGAAGTTTCTGATCCCAAAGGATTTACAATTCGTACGCCGTATAAGCCAGCATCGGAAGGAAGGGAGTGATCGATGCGTAATCCAACCTTTTTACCATCACAAGTCAAGAGAATTCGGTCAGATGGGACGATTGGTTGTCCATCTTTGGTCCATTCAACGGATGGAATTGGATTTCCAGTAAATGGCGCTTCCATTTTAAGTTCTTGGCCTTCGTCAGTGATGATATCGCGGAGAGCATGCAAGAACATTGGTCTCTCTTCAGGTTGATCTCCTTTAGTCGCGGAAGTTACTGTTAAGAGTGCTGAAGACTCGGCTTCTCCTGCTTCGTTCGTAGCAATAGCATAGTATGTTAGTGCATCACGGAGTTGATCGCAAGCATCGATTACCAAAGCGCTTCCACCATCGGGAAGATCCGTGATTTTTATGTGCTTATTATCGGAAATAACTTCAGCACCGTTTCTCCTCCTTTAATAATTAATCAAATGTAATATAATTTTATATTAAACATTAACGAATATTACCAAATAATTGACGGCTGTGGAAATCCGGATACTTTCACTTCAAATTTAACTGGGAAACCTTCAACAACCGTTTGTGGATATATTCTAGTGATAAAGTCTGGTTTGATTGGTCTCTTTTCGATTTCTACGTTTGCTTCACCGGTAATTTCACCAACTTTATTGGCAACTATTAAAGTGTACTTGCCAGCATTTTCTGGCCTCACATTATCAACTACTAATGCAATAGTTCCATCTGGATGGTGTTCCATGTGTATATTGGAAGAAGCACGAACCGGAAGACCGTCTTTCATCCATTTAATTTCAGGTGGTGGATAGGCTGCTACGTTAGCTGTTAGTTTCAGGGGTTCTCCAACCATTACCTTAGTATCTTTGATACATTTAGTGAATTTCGGGCGTTTGGCACTTGCTGTTTAAATAATAAAAAAAATCAAAATAATGAAATATTTAAATGAAACATTACCATTAACAACAACTGCGCACAATCCAGCAGTTTCCCCATTTTGATTTTTTACGACCAATTTGTAAGCTCCACTATCGGCAGGGGTGACGGCAACGATCTTTAACTTCACAGTACCGTCAGGAAGATGTTCAGTTTTGATTCTTTTGTCATCTGCGTCTATCTTTTCGCCGTCCTTGTACCATGCGACTTGTGGTTTAGGGCTACCGGATATTTTTGCCTTCAACTCCAGTTTCTCTCCTTCATTTACTTCTTCAGATCTTTCTAAACGCTTCGCAAACGATGGAGGCGTTTGAAGCATAGTAACTTTAGCAGAAGTTTCCGCATCTCCAACCACATTTGTAGCTGTGACTTTGTACTATCAAATAAGTAAAATTAATAAACATATATCATATATTAAAAAAAAATTTACAAGTCCAGAATCATTTTCGCCATAATTGATGATGGTCATGGTGCTGGTGATTTGTCTATCAGAAGTGGTTGCAAATTGAAGCTCTGGTACATCGACAATTTCCTTGTTGTTCAAGAACCATTTGATTTCGGGTCTTGGCAAACCATCTGCTCTCACCATCAAAGAGATTTCACCACCGTGTTCGACGTGTCCGTCAGTCAATCCAGTAATAAATTGAGGTTTCTCGGCTATAAAACAAAGATACTGCAGTTAGTTAATTGTTATGAAGGTAGCCAAAAAAAAAAAAGCGAAGCCGCAAACCTAAAAAAAATCAATTTTAAATAGCATTTAGATAAATAAAATTATGCGATTTGTGAGCTTTGAGAAATACCACTGTCAATGAATTTGCAATAATCGGTAGTAAAAGCCGATAAAACAAACAAAGCATGTAAACTTACTGCTCGGTTCTGGTTCTTCTGTAAAAGTTTCAATATAATGTTAAATACATTTCAAATAAGTTATAATTGAAATATGTACGTATTTTTTTAAATAATTTACTGTGATTATTAAGGATACTTACTAATAGTTTTGATTCTGCCTTCAGAATTTGCTTCTCCGTATTCGTTCTTCGCGTAGACTTTGTAGTAGCCTTCATCAGAGAGTTGAACTTTATTAAACTTCAGAGTGTATCTCTCGTTTTCTAAATCTTCCAGGATTTCAATATCTCCACCGGCCTCTATGACATTTTCGCTCTTAGTCCACGTGACGATGGCTTTAGGATTGGATTGGATGATGCAAGTGAGCTCTGTGGCGTCGCCAGGAACAACCTTGACAAAGTCAGGTCCCTCAATTTCTGGACTCAGAACGACTGTTAGTACACCACTGGATGTGGTTTCTCCCCATTTATTTTTCAATTTCAAAGAATATTCTCCGCCATTGATTCTCTCGCCTGTAAAATAATAATGAACATAAAAGGTAATTATGACATTTTACTTAACTTACATCTGGGTATAGTTAGTGAGAATGTGCATTCCTTCAATGTATCTTCAATGTCTTTGTCCTCAGCCTCAATGACCATTTTGTACTTCTCAAATTCTTCAGGTGTAATCTCTTTGCCTTTGAAGCACCTGCGAAATATATTATTTATTTGATGAATTATTGAGATTAAAATATTTACCATGTAAACTCTGGGACTGGTTCTCCCACAATAACTGCTTTCAAAACAGCCTCCTTCTTCTTAATGACGGTTGTATCTTGTAGACCTAAACCTTCGCGAACCTTAGGTCTTCTCAATTCAGCCTCGGCTAAAAGTGAATTCAATATATTGATAGTAAATAGATGTTACATCCTTTTTGTATTTACGTATGATTTCCAGCTTCGATTGTTGTTTAATATCTCCTACGCAATTAGAGATAGTGCATTCATATACTCCAGCATCTGCAGGCTGAAGACGAATGATTTCCAATTTATGAACATTGCCTTCATCCATGATCTTGAAGCGTTGATTTGCTCCTGGTTTAATAAGACTTCCGTTCAAAGTCCATGCAGCTGTTGGAGCTGGATTTCCATTTGTTGTTACTGAAAAGACGGTTCCCAAAGATTCGAATTGGGACCTATCCTTCATATTTGATTCAGTGATTGTCGGTAGAGCTGTGGATATTTGGTAACACGCATTTAATATGATATTCTTTTATAAAAAAATTGTATAACGTTACACGAAACAAACCTTAACATTTCTAGCAAGCTCCAAGGGGTTTTGGTTAGTGCGTTTTGCTCTTAACAAAGCTGCTGAGTCGGATTATTTTTACCTTGTGCGCCGATTTCTTCAACTAAAGACCTTTGCTTTTTGGCTCTCTCTAAAAGAGCTTCAATATCGTCGTCCTCTACTTCCGCTTTCTGAGGTTCAGCGGGTTTTGTAGCTTCCGGTGTGGTTGGTTCCTCGACCTCCATGATCTCGCATACATCAGTACCCGCGGATTTGGCTCGCTTCTTGACTGTTAATATTTCCTCTTCGACGATGGGTTGCGGTTCTTCAACTTTGCCCTCCTCGACTATCATCTTGTCACCTTAAGTTATTTACCCTATTTAGAGAAATCTTGGCTCCATTGAATTCGCGTATTTTTACCTATTTGACACTGTTCTGGTTCTTCGATGACTTCCTCGATTTTAAATTCGTCCGTCGTGACCTCATCTACTATAAGTTTAAGTTTGACCGGAGCTTCCTCTTCTATCGCATCAGTATGGCTCACTTCTGTTAGTTAATCGGGACAAATTTCGAGACAAGACACATTTTGTAATAACGGACATGAACATACACAGGGATTTAAAAAAACAAAAAAAAAACAAAAAAGTGTAATAAAAACAACATATGGCGGATTCAGTTGCAAAAAGACCGCTTCAAAAATTGTGTATTCATGTAGTGAAAGTGTAAACAACTTACTGTGTACTGTGACATTGCTCTTGCTCGATACTGTGCCCAAGGTGTTGGTGACTTGAATTTCATATTCTCCTTGTTCTTCGTACTTGATGAGGTTCACGCTGAGGTGGTAATTCTCAAAGCGTTTGGTATCTCTGGTAATTTTGATCCTGGCATCTGCGGACACTTCTTTTCCATTTCTTAACCATTTAACAGTTGGTTCTGGCACTGCTTCTACTTCGCATTCGAGATGCAAAGTGGCGCCTTCCTCGACAGTTGTATCCTTCAATTGTTTGATAACCTTTGGTTTACCTGGAGATACAATTTAATTTATTATATGTAGATTCATTTATATAGATTTAATTAAACTTACAGTTCACTGTCAACTTGGCGCTTGTGCTTGTTTCACCTAGCTCGTTAATAACTTTGCAAGTATATTTTCCACTCAATTCACTTCCCACTTCTTTGATGACCAGTTTGAGACCATCATCAGCTTCAATTTTTGTATATTCAGTTCTTGTTTCCTGGATCTCCACTTCATCCAGGAACCACTTGACGGTAGGCTTGGGAAACGCATCTACTTTAAGGCCTAAGGTAACGTTTTTGTCATGCTCGGTTACAGTCATATCTTCAAGAGCTTGAACGATAGTTGGTGCTCTCTTTACATCAACTCTGGCTTCATCCTCAGAAGTTCCATGAATATTTTTAGCTCTGACCTTGTACGAAGCAGAGTCAGTGGTGACGGATCCGGTAATCTTCAACTTATATGTTTCTCCATCATCAGAAATGATGTAATGACCATCGGATTTTATCTCGACGCCGTCTTTAAACCTGAAATTATTCATATAAGATTATATTTGGATTAATATAAATTAATTTACCAAGTAATTTCTGGTGGTGGTTGAGATTCCATTTTGATACTTAGTTCAACCTCAGCCTTTTGAGAGATGGACTTATTTTCACCAATCTTCTTTAAGATCTTAGGCTTGCAGTAAATCTCAAGGTTCCAAAATTGGGATACTTGTGCCATTTCATTGCTTGCCACTACAGAGTATGAACCGGAATCCTTAAGTGTAGTATTCTTAATAACAATACTATATTTATTTCCTTCTTCAACGATGCTTATCAGTTCGGTATTCTTGATAATCTTTCCATCTTTATAGAATTGCACAGTTGGTTTTGGAATTCCATCGATTTCAGCGGTCATTTTCAGTTCCTGTTCGGTGGAGGCAGTTGTGTCTGTCATTTTGCAAATTGTTGGTGGGGCTTTTACGGTGAGATGCATTTCACGGATATCCTGGCCAAGCTCGTTTTCAGCAGTGATCTCGTAACGTCCTGCATCTTTAGCTTCAACATTCTTGATGACCAAAGACATAGTCTCTTCATCTTCATGCAAAAATCTATGATTGCAAGAAGTTAATAACAAAATATTAAACATATCAAATATCTTACTTGTATTTCTGACTTGGCTCAACAGCTTCACCTTCGTGTTTCCAAGTGACTTTTGGTTTAGGAAAACCTTTTACTTGAAGTTCCATAATACAAGAACCTCCGACTGAGGTGATGGCTTCGCGCTTCTCTATTATGAGCTGAGGTTTCTCTGGTTCTCTGTACAATTCATGAACTGTACCTTGTACAGTTAATTCAGCACTGCAGCTAATATTACCGGTAGTGGTTTGCGCCACACAAGTATAGAGGCCAGCGTCTTCCGGTTTTACATGTTGGAAGATCAATGCAAGAGAATCCTCATCGTCGCCCAACAAGACTTTGAAACGTTCTTCGGCCTCAAATTCCTTACCGTCCTTCTTCCAAATGAAAGAAGGCTTTTCTCCGGGTGGCAAAGGAATTTCCTTGTTTGGCAGATCATCGAAGAGATGTTTAGATTCGGTTACAGTGACCTTGGCTTCAGTACAGGCCTCGCCGTGTTCGTTTATAGCAACGCACTTGTACACACCTGCATCTTGGGGCTTTACATCTGGGATTACCAATTCATAAAAATCGTGATCAGACAGGTCTCGGTTGACCTTGATTCGTTCAGAATCTTGAATTTTAACATTATCTTTGTAACTAAAACATAGATAGCAATATAATAACAGAATATTTGGTAAATTATTTTTGGTGTTTACAATGTCAAAATTGGATGGGGTTCTCCTCTGATTTTGAGCATAAATCTCAAATAGGTATCTTCGAGCAATTCAGTGTCCTTCAATTTAACGGTAAAGTCAGGCTTTTTCAGCTCTTCCTTTTCCTCCTCAGTTACTGAAAATTTGTAAGGGATTTAATAAAATGAAAATTAAATGAATATGACTACTAACAAATGTGGACTTGCAAGTGAGTGCTGCAGGTTGATTTGCCTTTAGCATTGCATGCGACGGCGGTGAAGACACCGGAGTCAACTTCCTCGGCGTCTATAATCTCTAAGCGCCAAGTTTTATGCTCGTCAAGAGATGTTACTTTAATGCGTTCAAGCAGGCTACCTTCAATAGCTCTATTGTCTTTAAGCCATGTTAGCGAATCAGGTGTGTCAGCAAGTTTAATTTCAAAAACGGTGCGTTCACCAGCTGCGATAAAGAAGCGTGTAAGCAAGAAAAAAGTAATTGAAAGCAAAACAATTGTAACTTACGTTTAATGTGTATGCCTCCTAGAGTTTTAGTAAATTTAGGAGTTTCGTCTGGTGGAGCCATGCCAATATCTTTAGACTTGGATTTCTTCACGGCATCTTCGAGTATTTTTCCGTCAAAGACGGTCGATTGGGTTACAGTTTGAAAAGAGTCTAGGAAATTAAAATACAATTAGTGAATATAAAATGATAATTAAATTAAATTAGGTGTAGCTTTTGTTGTGTTTCGTAACTTACCGCTGCGTTCGTTCGTTTCGGCGCCAATTGAATCCGTTCGATTATATTTACCCTGTTCAGAAGATGAACGTCGAGAATATTTTTCGAATTTAGCCAACCTGTCCTCTTCTTCTCCTTGGTTACTAAGAGATCGCTTGTATGAATCAGTTGAATCCGTTGAAGTGAGTCGACGGTAACTATCTGATTTGATTTTGCTCACATACGCATCCGCGTCAAAATCATCTTCGACTGATGCCTTGGATGACAACCTCTCAGATCTTCTCTTACTCACGTACGAATCTTCTGCATCGTAAGCAGAAGTTTCATGATGTTTATCTTTAATGCTTCGCCTGCTGAAACTATATTCACTATCGTCCGCAAGCCTCGATTTTCGATAGCTGTAATCTCCTTCATCCACAGCAGCTGACTTGCGATAACTGTAATCTCCTTCATCGAGAGCAGTTGATTTGCGATAGCTGTAATCGCCTTCGCCAGCAAGAGATGTTCTTTTGTAACTGTAATCTCCTTCGTCAGATCTTAATGACTTTCTGCCAGATGTCTCATCTAAGGCAGCTGAACCCAGAGCGGTGGATCTACGGGAATAGCTGGTGGTGCTTCCTCTGCTTTCAGAGTCAATGGACAACGATCTCTTTGACAACGAATCTCCAGCAGCCGATGAAGAGTACCGGGAATACGACGAAGACATTTCACCGTAGCCCTCTGTGAAAGTTTACGTATAAAAATATTGATTCCCACGATGTTTAATTATGGCCCAAGCGATTCCACCGTAATAAAGATTAATTGCAACAAGCGTGTGTATCAATTGTACGTGTTATATATTTTATTGTAATTTGTGATTAGTGAATGCCTGAAACTTACCAGAGGTGCCATACGCGGAGACGTGTTTCCTACTCATAGCTTCTTGGTCGACGTTAAGACCGACCGCGACGTTCACTCTAAAACTATCACCGTAATCAGCTAATTCTGATTTAGAACCATCCCTACTTAAAGCAATTGCACTTCCCGACACACGATTATCTACACTTATGTGAGTTTTACTTAAGACCGGATTTACTAACTTCTGCTTTTCACTATCAACAGCAATTTGTTTTGATGCACTTTCAACTTTTTGGGTTACGGCTTCGACTTTCTGCTGAATCTCAGCAGTTGCTGATTTTTGTGATGTTGTTTCAAGTTTTTGTTGAGTGGTTTCTACTTTCTGTGTTACTGATTGTGCCTCTCTGGCAGTTTCAGATTTTGCAGCTATTTTTTGAGATATTGTCTCTACTTTTTGTTGAGATATTTCAACTTTCTGAGTTGGAGTTTCAACTTTCTGCGGGACAGTGTCAACTTTTTGAGATAGTGTATCTGCTTTATGTGTAACCGTGTCAAGTGTTTGAGCAGTCGTTTCTACTTTTGTAGAGGACTGTACTTTCTGCACAGATTCAACTTTTTGCTGCGTCGATGTTTGTACTGTTGTTTTAATAGATGATGATTTTTGGATGACAGATGTTGCTTCAACTTTAGATTCGACTGTTTTCTGAACTGAAACAGATTCCCCTTTTTTCTCAACTTCAACTGCCTTCTTTTCGACGACTTTATCTTCTTTTTTCTGAAGTTCTACGACTCTAGGAAGTTTACTTTCCTCAATTATCTGTGCAACTTCTACTTGGATCTTGGGCGGTTCTTTGGGAAGTTGGTATTGTTGTAGAACTGGCTCTGGGGGCGATGCTGGCCCTGAGAGGACTTGCAAATCGTCAGCTCCTTCTTCTGTTGCATAAATGTATAAATAGAACATTTACATTTAATTGTTTAATTGTGACTTACCGATTTCAGTAGCAAATTCTTTAATTTCCTTCAACCAAAAATCTTTAACTTGCTCCCGGTGGCAAGTCAAGGTCAGAGCGTGACCTGCTGTTTTATCGAATAGTTCGAAGACAAATGGATCGTCAGGATGATCTTTCACTTCTACTTGTGGTAACTGAAAATGCGTTTCATTAATATGTTTTGAACAGGATGCATGTCCAACTATTTACTCTGATTATGTCTTTGAGTTGAAAAACAGATCGATCTTCCGAAATCCTTCGTACTTTAGAGATTAAGATGCGGGCTTTGAAGAGAAATAGGTAACGTTCTTTGGTGATGTCGCCGAAGCAGACTGAAAACCAATCGTGGGCGAGCAGGCGACCTAATTTATGGATGCTGCCACGATAACCTTCGATGCTATTAGTAAATTTATCGTCTTGTGCCCGGTGTGGGACACTTAGCATCAACTCCAAAGCCTTCTGAAGATCTGAATTGTCTTCGCCAAGACAAGCGCTATACCTGACTAACTCCTGAAAATCAAATAAATATCAGAAATGTTAAAAAAATATAGTAAAATTCCGTTGGAGCTATTCCAAATCGAAATCAACGATCTTCGCAACAATTTCGATTTTTTCGATTCCAATTTTATAGAATTTGACCTAGTTTGAAAGTACCTTCAGGAGAAGTTGGTAGTCGTTGATCCTCTGGATGGGTAACTTGAGGTGTTCGGCGATGGTTTTGTCGTCGTTTAAGCGATGCGAAAGCTCCTGCAAACAAATGGGTGGAAAAGTTAGGATTTTGCAAAAAAAAAATAGAGAAAAATAAAGAGAGACAGAAATCAAGAAAAACGAGATTTCGTGCAAAACCGTGCGAGCTAGTCTCTTTATTTTTAGCCAGATGAATATTAAAATACGATGCGCGCGTTTGTTATTTATAAATACGCCAACACACTGCTCCGAACTTACATCGAGCAAGACAGGGATCTGAGCTCATCACCATTTGCAATAATCCACACCGAAATTCTAGATTTCAATCCAGTCCCGCTTTTTATTTTACACTCCTCCGCTCTATTAATCTACCTAATGCTGGATGTAACAGTAGATATCATCCGCCCGGAAACTTGCGTTCACTTGCCAATAGCCATTCCCATTGCTTTTCATTATCAGTTGCCAAGTAAAAAATAGAATCATCAGTGCAGAAAGAAAACAACACCAAGTAATTATTACTAAATCTATGTAATGTATAGGCGCATAAATCTTTTCTTAAATTGCATTCTTAGTATTTAACAATTGATATAAATACAACAGAGAAAATAGTTTTTGAGTTTATCACTTAGTTCTTTCAAGAATGTAAACAGTAACTAATGTTTCTTTGGTTTTTCAATAACTGCAACATTATATTATAACGATTTCGATACTGGAAAATTAATTTTAATGTTCTTACGTTTTTATTTTGAATGCCATAGGAGATAATAGAATATTATAATGTTAAAATCTAGTTTTTTTTTAATAATATATAATACACGTTCATGTTGTTGATAAAATTCAGTTTAAATTTTATAGAACCAATCCAAACTTTACAAATGCGATTTTCTGAAAATTTAATTCTAAAATTATAAGACGTGTTTCATGACAGAGTGTACATCTTCATACAAATAGTACAACAGGCTATTGACCGGAGTCTTCTTGACTTATATTTAGAAGTAATTGAAAATAAAATAGTTGAATAAATGTATTCTATATTTATACTTTTTGAAACTGAATGAATAGTGCGACCTTCGTCAGTCCGGATTTACCATAGTCCGGTTTGAAAATTTCAAAACAATCTAAATTTTAAATGAACAAAATATTTCTGTTTCTCTTTATATAAGTTCTTCAATTAGTTCGCTTAAAAAAAAACGTCCGGTATTTTGGTGGATCTAAAATTGCAGGTATGAGAGATATTGTTGTATTATTATATATTAGATATTTAACATTATTGGAAAGGTGTACTACATAGATATCATGAAAATACAATAACAATTTCTTTAGAACAAAATACATCGCATTTTGAAACACAATGCAACTGTCGTGTTCAGTAATTTAAAAATAAAAATAGTACATCTGTTAGAAAATATCTTATCTTATTTTCTTGCAGTCATTTTTGTTTATTCTTTTATTATTTTTTTCGTGCAATGTAAGATGGTGATACATTTTATAATTTTGGACATCTTGCGTAAATGCTTCGCATAAATTCTAGATTCTCGCCAACACATTTTCATCAACATTTCAAACACTCACTTTAGGAATGCGTATAGTTGTATATATATATTGTTACTTATTTATTTTTTAAATTCATACAAACATTTATTTAATTGATTTTATTTTTCTATTAGATATGTTTTTTTTTACTTTATAAAAGTATAAACTTTAGAAACGTTTATATACAAATTCTACCAAAACTAAAGTAATTATGACAAATAAGATTGAAGTTACATGTAAGAAACTATATGTTAAAATATACAATTACTGCAATAGTCCGAGATAGTCCGGGAAATCGGTTCCGCCAATATCCCGGACTGTTTGAAACTGGACTAATCTAGGAACTTAAAGCCGAAAAAAATTAAACAGTACAAAAAAATATTTTGTTTTGAAAACCGGACTGTATTAAATCCGGATTGATCCGATTATATGAGATATTATTGTATTACTTTAATAATTTGTTTTAATTAGCGATTAAATTGGAGGATAAAGCATTTATTGATTTAGATTAAAGAACATAATGCATACTATCTATTAGTTAGAAAAATCGTGTTTACTTATCTTCAAACATTTATTTAAAGTTCTTAGTTTAAATCGTTTAAGTGTTTAAGAATCAAATGATCCTAGTTTTAGTTGTAACTTTGGCGTACGATTCGATGCATTCTGGCATCAATATCAGTGCTGCAACTTAGATTTGGCTGCACACCTTTATTACTGTAGGTAGGTAAACAAATTTACTTTCTGGAAATGTTCTGAAAACGTACTCACTATAAAAACGAACTTGAATCGTTGCAATAAACATACAAATATATACTGCAATATTGAATTTCGTTGCTGAATCGTGAATTTCTTCATATTTAATTTCCAAAAATTTAATCTCAAAACAAATTAAATTAATTAGTTACTTTTTTTCTAGTCAAAAGTCCAAGTTCAAAGTACATACTTATTGTTTAGTTTATTTTTTGTGCAATTGGATAATATTCAAATTTATAGACATTTTTCATAATATTTCTCTCCCCCATCAATTAAAAGACATTAACAAAATTGCTTTAATCATCGTAATATTTATAAATTTAGTTTAATTGATTTATAATTATACATTTTTAAAAGAGGATCAAGTTTTCCGAATTATAGTTTATGTTCAAACAGTTTATTCAAAAATGTAATTAGGTATTTTTAAGACAATATAAAATATATATATTGTTTGTCTTATATTTATGATATTTATTTTATGTATCAATGTTATACATAACGTAAGAGATAAAGATGTTTTTGACTGTTTTTTTTAGTATCTGTGTTGACAATGTTAAGATCATCAGTCAAGTTTCAAACTTAGAAATTTATTATTTATCAAAAAATAGGTTTTGAGGTATCGAATTCCATGAGGAATACCTTCGCACGAATCAATAAGGAACTAAATTAGGAGTCGATCGAGATTATGTATTGTTAAGCATGGGAACGGAGAAAAAGCGGAGACTAATTTTAAACCAGTTTTCTGGTCCGCGGTTTTCGTAACCGGAGTCGCCGGATTACACAACATTCCAACAAGTCTCCAATATCCGCCATTCAGTTGTTGCCTCATCTCACCTCACCTGCTTCCTGATTCTACCTAGGTGTTGTGTAGTGCGATGCTTCCGTCACTTTGATATACTTCGATCCGGCTGCTGCTCGCACACACGATTTCAAAATTTATTATTATCAAGAAACGATCGCACGCAAAATATCCACCGATACCACACTCAAAAAAAAGATTCACTCACGCACACGGAGAACGTGCAGACCGACTGACCTCACCGCCGGACCCGACGTCGCGACGCTGCTAATACTCTATACATAGCCACTGGCGGTGAGGCTACACTCCCAAAACCTGCTTCAATAAATACACAGACATTCACATAATCCAGAAATTTTATCGCACAAAATAGAAGAAAGAGAATCCAATTCGCATAAACAATCAATTTCTCAAGAAACGAGAAAAGTAGAAATGAAACTCAATGATTAACACGTACTTGTTGATCACATCAAACATTGTTTGGACTTTGAGCTTTCAGAGGTAATTCCTCAAGTTTAGTTTCAAGTTACAAATTAATTAAAACGTTTTTTTATGGAACATACAACTTATTTTTTGCTCATGATATATCCAATGTTTTATAGCCTTCTATTTCTGACTAGAAAACCTTAAAATTGTTTACTTGCATGACTTAAAAAAAGTTTATGTGGAATTTTAGAGAAATTTTTTTATTGTGTGTGATATTCTTGGATACACTTAGAAGATGATGTTGATTCATGCAATAGATCTTAAATAAATCAAATATTGCTTATTTTCCTTTAAAATTAATCATATGATAAAAATATTTTAAAATATCAAAAATATTAATCATACGTTGTTGATAGATGTTGACTAACTGAAAGCTAGTCCAAGACACTTGTTAAATTTGATTTCTTTGCGGTATAATTATTAATTAATATAAAAATATACAGACAGACCTATGGTCAATAGCCTTTTGCAGAAGTTTAATTTAATATTTGAGTTTATATTTTGGTGATTCCTTATTGCAATAAATATTATTATTATAGAATTATCCCTAAAATAATTATATATTTTTTCCACATAATTAAACATGTTCTAAAATATCAAAGAGGATTTGACTAAAAAATCTAGTCCACGCTGCTTTTTTTAAGTATTTATGATATATTTGCCTTATAGTTAGTAAAAGTGGATTCAATTTAATAAAATATAATTATAATTTTGGGGCAAAAAGATTTCGGTCAATAGCACTTAAGTTGTAATTAAAATTCTATTTAAAACTATTACTATAAAATCTTGTTCTCGGAGCTTATTAAATTATTTTGACACATTTGCTTTATAGTTAGTTATTTATAAACGTAGACTTAGTTTTAAGATTTATACTTCCTAGCGCATTAATTTGTACTATCATCTTGACATTGTATTTATATAAAATAAGTCCTCACTTAAAAATAATCGATTAATGCTGAAAGAGGTTGAAGGCCAAATCGTCGTTCATGAAAATTAAATAACCAACAGTAATGCAATATATTTTTATATTGGATACAAACAAATAAAATTCTCCAAAGGTGCAAATATTTATAATTTGTATTAATTTATTTGGAATCAAGTAAAAGATGGAAAATGGACACAAGTGCAAATTGATAACATAAATAATTAACTATATAAATTCCATAAAATTGATTTATTTAATGCTTGAACCATATAATTTATATATAATATAATTTAAAAAGTTATCAATTTGTTTAGTGCACTTTTTTCAATTTTTTAATCCGCGACCCCCTTTTGTGCTTAAAAAAATTAAAGGACCCCTGAAAAATGGGTATATTAAAGGACAGAAAAACATACTAAAAACATATCATAATTTTTTTGCGACCACTCCTTTGAAAATCACTGGTCTAGTGGATCGTAAAAATATATTCTTCATAATATACCTTAAGAATAGAAACATAACTGTTTTTAACTTTGTAAAATATAAATCTGAATTTCGTAAAACTTGCGAGTAAACTATTATATATTGTCAACGTGTTAAACCCTAAATTTTTGGATTTTATAAATAATCATTGTCTCATATATTCATTTTAACTTGCTTTTACAAAGTGCTTAATTTTAAGTTATAACAAGACTACCTGTTGCGGCCCAGTTGTATTCTTGTAATTTAGTTAACTGAAATATCTTTTCAACAGGTGTTGTATAAACGTATTCTATAATTTTGACAAAATTCGGTAATCATATGTTCTTGTTTTTGAAATAATTGTCTATTTTTTATTCATTACTTGTATTTTTCAAAATATCATAGATTCCTGAACAGAAAGGTTTTGCAAACACCTTAGTTCGTTCATGTTTATTGTATGGTAAGTCTATCAATAAGTTATTGCATTTTTATCTATTGGTTAACATTTCCATAATGAAAATTTTGAAATAATTCGAAATAATATATTTGTATATATATTAAGTGTACTAATAATTCTAAAGAATAGTCTAAATCGGTTGATAAACACTGGTCTACGTTTTGGCGCAAAATTTTCAATTGATTATAAATAAATATTTGATGTCATGAAATAATACAAGTTTCTTATCATAATATTTTCTATCTCTGTAATATATTGCTTAAAGCAGTGATATATTAATATATTATTGTTTCAGATGTTAAAAATGTAATTAAAACTATAATATTACATTGATTCTCATATGTCAATAGGATGTGACACGTATATATTAGATTAGTGACAGGAGTTTATTTTTTTTAATTTCGAAATAGATGATTCGAATGCAATATCGGTATAAATAGAGACATATTATGTCTATTTTAAATACAGAGATATAAATTTCGACGCACACACCGACTTGTGTTTACATTTGAAACGTGAAGACACTGCTATTTTATGGAAATGCTCTCTCGCATAGGTATAATAATCATGCTGATCACTAACGCAAGGTTTCGATTCCATTCACACTGCTTTGAATTGATTTACGTAATATATTATACACGTTCGAACCACCCACACGCGGCGCTGGGGTGTATGTTTTTCAAATTATTTTCGTCACTGAAATTATATTTGGCATAAAAATAAATTAAACCTTTGCCAATATTTTTTCGCACCGCTGTACACCTATCTCTCTCCTACACATGCCTTAGATCGACGCAGTCTCGTATTTCATGACACGTCTCAAAACAAAATACATTCTGACAAACTGACATTCAACATGTGATCACTAGATTGGATCAGTCATTTTGTAATATTCCTAGGATTATGATAATATTAAATAAATCCACTGAATGAAATAAAGTCATTTTTTCTTATTATTATAACAGTCTTCTATTTGATGTACATAAAGAATAAAAACTTATAATAATTTTATTATCTCATTCTGATGTATCATTTTGATAGATTTTAAGTGATTGATATTCTTTTTTTATTTAGATTTCTATAAAATAATTCGAAATGGTTAGCTAATTTGGTTAGTTAATTTGGTACAAAGGGTAAACGACTCTAATCATTAAAAAAAAAATTAATTTAATTCAAATTTAAATGTGGTCATCCACTCATAGTGTGTAATAATAACTAATAGCTTATTATTGTTTTCTGGCATACTCAATCAATATAACTGAAGCCTTTTAAGCATTAAATTTCCTCTATAATAACTTTTTAATTCGATATTTTCATATTTATTTGGAACATTATAGAGGCCCTAGTTTAGTCAAAGGAAGTATATATTTACAAAGAAAATTATTTTGTAGCTGAATATTTGAAATATGTTTCAGAAATTGTAATTATAATGTACTTGTACATTTATGATTCAAAGTTATTGTTTTATATAATAACTTTTGTAATAGAATAAATAATATACAAGTAACTGATGGTTTTATATTATTTGCAAATTATTTACAAAACTAGTTAAGTATTAAGAATTGATGGTTAGTTTAAAAACAAGCAGGACTTAAGTGGTATGTGATTTAAATGTTTAATAGAAAGAGATTTTCTCTAGCCACAGTATTCATAGGGTTGCCAGATTTCTTGGTAATGGTCAAACAAAGACAAAAACAATCTCAGAACACAATTTAAAAATTATATGATGACAATACTGATTAAATATTTATATTTGAATACTTTTTTTGGGAATAAAAAATCACAGAAATAATCTTACAAATGTCACACCAGGACTTGAGAGGAGACCTGACAACCCTAAGTATTCATAAATATTTTGATACTTCTTTATTAGCCACAATCAAATTGTAACTAGTAATTTAAGTATTTTCTAAATTATATAAACACTGAATATAAAGTTCATCATAACGTTAGAGATTGATTACAATCTCTTATCAAAGTTTTGATGTTGTTACAAAACAAAGCCTTGATGAATAGGTTTATATAGCTATTTTAAATATCCATGGAGAATATTTATTGAATTCATGAAAAGTGTGATTAAATTTACTTAATGTTTTAACCAAATAAAATTAAAAAAAAACACAAAATTATATAATATAGATGAATAATAAAATATTGAACAATTGCAAAAACCACTCACTTCAAAATATTCCCTGGCCACGTCGCAAGTGTCCAGAAAGGATTGAGCCAAAGGTTCTTCTTTGCAATAGCTCACGTGCTTATCGAAATCCCTTTCCAACCTAAGGAAAGCTTTTCCAAGCAGATGCGGTTCGTTCGCGTAATATTTAACGCCTTCCATCAGCACCCTAAATGCATATAGAAAAAAAAACTTAATCTCATATCCAAACCTAAAAAAAACTGCGTGAAAAAAGCAATTACGTTCTGTGGAACTCGGATATCTCTTTGAGATTTCCAAAGATTAGCTCGAAATTGTCCTTGATAAGCTTCGGTTTTCTGGGCTCCCTTTCTGAGCCGATCAGGTAGTTCTGCACGACGAAGTCCAAATCCCGTACGAACTCCTGCTCCGTCTCGACCAGCTCCTTGACGACGGCCCTGAAAATCATTATTGTGTGTGGTCATATCGTTTAATGCTCGATGAATTTCGCAGTTTGAATATTTAAAATCGTCGCATTTAAATTTAGATTGCAGTATACAATATAGATGAATAATAGTAATGAATCACGGAGTTTTGAATAAAATGTAGATTGAAAACGTGACCGTGGCGCGTATTTTCGTGAAAATAGTCGGTCCGTTGATGCGTGCTTTAGTATGCATGTATGTATGTGTGTGTGAGTGTATTAAATATGTGGGTCAACTAAAACTTTCCTCAAAAACCTATTTTTAACCAAAATAGATGTGTATACAGGTCAATTTGATTAATGAAAAAGAACATTCTGGATTGCATTTTGCAGGGAATAATTTTGTTTAGATTGGCCAGTAATGTTTCATCCTAAAATATCTTTATGAGATATAAATAAGATTGATTTGTTACCATTCATTCCCCTATTGAATTTACATTTTTAATCAACTATGATTCTGTAATAAATAATTATGCATTCATTATATACATAGCCGCAACAAGGAATCTTGCGCCTGCTGCTAAATATCTAATTTGCGTCGACTTCTCAAGAAAACAATACTATTACCTATTACGCTGTTGCCTACCCTCTCTGCAGCAGCGATTTTATTTATTAATTAAAGAATACGAATAATTTTCAATCATCGTCGATGGAAGTTAAATAACGTTTATCCATGATAAAAAAAATAGTTGAAATGGATATAACATGTAACAAGTATAAATAATAATACCACTTTTAGTAAATATTGGAGAGGAAATTTAATTTAATTAATCGTTTGCGTAATTTACGTTTCAAAAACTTTTATTATTTGAGAATTTGCAGTTATTAAAAATATAGTAACTATGATTACTTCCATCGATATTATATTTTAAATTTATTTATTCTAGCAAATTTACATCAGTCTACCAACGCGATTCTATTTGTCCCATATTGACAAAATGTATAAATCGTCTATTCTATTTTACATACAATATTTTTCTTAACTTTCGTAGATTGTCAAGTAGACGATTTCTGAAGTTATTATTCATGAGAGTTGTAATTTATGTTTTCATTTGTATACACTTTTAGATAGATATTTTAGTTTCAAATAAAATTTAGACTTAACCTAATTTAATTTAATACTTTCCAACTCATTTATATAAATATAATGTAAATTTTTTAATACTGGTAGTTCTTCAATATTTATTATAATATTACCATGACGTACTTCTATATTGATTTAAATTATATTTGTATTCATAAACGAAATTATTTTTATATTCAAAATTATAAAAAAAAATCTTATTTTTTTTGTTAATAAATATTGTACAATCAAATACAATGGGCTATTGTTGAAAATATATTCTATAAGTTCTTTCTATATATTCTATAAGTATTTTCTTTCTTTCTGAAATCTATAAACAATTATCATCATATTACATTTTTCCGAAATATTTCTTTATTTAAGAATTTTGGAGTCACCAAATGTAGTATATGAGACTTTATCTAAATACATTCAATTATTGTTGTAAATTATAAAGATTGTAAAAATTTGGAAAACATAAATATAAACTTCAATTTTCTTTGCATGGCAATTATTATCAATATATCACAAACCAAAATTTTCAAGTTTAAATTTGTATGTTCATTAGAATTATTTTTTTTACCCCACACTATTTTTTATATATATATCAAATTTAAAATGATTAAAAATAATATATATCTCTTGAAGTATGCTTGTGCCTTATGCGCAAAGTTACTTGTCAAGTTAATTACATATCAATCGTATATTCATCTAGTATAATATAAATGCACAAGTTATGCAATGTTATTCAAAATGTATACGCGTGTTATTTTTTAGGTCATAATATTGATATATTACAAATTAGAGTAACGTATTCTTCTATAAATGTAACTTTGCAACTTTTTACTTTTTTTATGTTTTATGTATTTTATCGATAATCTAATTTACTTTAGAAAACAAACATGATATTAATGAAACACGAAAGGAATGGCATATGTTTAAGAGTTTACTGGAATAAAAATTGTACTTTTGTTATTTAAAATACGTTTTTGATTATTGTGTTAATGTGTGCAGTTATTCACGTGAAATTTCTCGTAATTTGGTTAAGTTTTGTATGTATTTACTATTCAAATAGTACTCGCGTGTAGTGCACATCGTAGTCAAATCGGAATAATTTTGAATAGTTGAAATGTGTGTGCGTCATCGGATGCATATGGTGGTCTGACCTCTGACCGGCAGAAATTTGAGATGGGATCAGTAAGGTTCAAAATAGATGAAGGAAAGGCATCCCAGGTATCTCGACTCACTGGCGTCTGAATGCGGCGTCGCCGGGCAGCCCAGTTCCTGGTTGGGGTTCATCGGCGGTCTGCAACACCTGACACGGCACCCAACCTTGCTTCTTGTCGCCCTTCACCATCCGCACCAACCATCTAAAAAGAACAAACACAAAACCCACAAACAATTACATTTTCAATTATGGGTGATGATAAGGAATTTAGAAATACCTTGCGTTTAGGGGTGTCCTGGTCGGGGAATACCTTGAGCTAGACCTGGATCTCTTAGGTTTCACCGACAATTTGTGCTTGGCAGCAGCGCTGTCCAAGAGCTGCTCACCTTTGACTTCCAATTCCGGATCCAATCGCGCTCTCCTATTGACGACAACAACAAAAAAACGTCAATAAACTCATAGTCATAGAACCAAATATCCTAAATTAATTACTTTGGCGAAGAGATTGTAGGATCTTCCGTATCCAAAAGCTCAACCAAATCACCCTCTTGCAGATTGAGCTCCTCCGGTCCTATAGCAGAATACTTCTGCCATGCTATCATCAGCTCACCAGCATTCTAAACATTATAAGATAGTCTTTTTAATCAAGATTCTTTTAAAAGCAACAATTGTAACCTACTGGGTGTCTTAGGATGAAAAACATGTTTGTAATTTTATTTTTATTATTTTTTTGTGTATGTGCCAATCAAAGTGTGTGTGGTAAAGTGATCTACAAAAAAAAGAAAGAAACAAACATTAGGTTTAGGATTAGATTACGTTTATCCATTTGTTTATTTAGCGTCATGCATATTTCCATTTAATTTTACGAGTTCTTCGTTTAACACTGTATTAAAGGCCACCGTGTGTGGGCCGTGCGTGGTTTGGGGCCAAGAGAAACAATAAAAAGATAATAGAAACACATTCTCTGGATGCGAGACAACAAAATACCTTGAACACAACAAACGGATTATTAATCATGTCACTGTGAGGGTGAGATCCAAGTGATGACGTGTGTTGTGGACTTACCTCTTCCTCTTGCTTTCTCGATGCCTTCGAACGGGACGTCATGTTTGTTTAAACACCTAGGCTACGGCGCAGCACACTTTGGCTCTGAAAATCATGTTAAGTTATTGAATTGCACTGAGACCCGCACGCACATACACGCACACAGAAATAAATTTAAATGTGGAGCGACAACGTAAACATAAAAATAAAGCAAGAGGGAATAAACGTTCATCGATTCGTTTTTAGAACTAATTTCATTAATGCCCCCGCCGCTAATTATAGAAAAAAAAGCGCCTGTGCACCTCCTGCGAGCATATTTTTATTTTTACATTGGCGATACCGGAATGCCGTCCATCCATTCACGAATTATGTGCATCCACATAACGTCATTTCGGTTTACGTCCGTTCGTTCATTATTAACTATCAACAGCGTTTGGAATGATCTTTCAAATCACATTAGCGTGAAGGAACCACTGTTTATAAACAAATCTTACTTTACATTTCTTTAAATATCTTATGATTTTTCATATGTATTAAGCAAAATGAAAACTTTTGATATTAATTTTAGCATAGTAAAACGCTGATTATCCGTTGTATCAAGAACGGATAATTGAAAAAGACGAATAATACAGATGGACACCCGGATCATCGGAGTATTAATGTAATTTTTAATTCTAATTATTTTGAATGTATTTATTAATTATTAAATTGTTTGCTTTATATCAAAATTGTCAAAAATAATGTTATATTTGATTATTTATTAAACATATGTTTACATCTCAATAAAATATATTTATGTAATCAATAGGATTTACTAATTTAAATGTAATTATTGTTTCTTATATATGTTACTGTTATTAGTTTTAATTATTTGATAAATCATAGAATAATTGAATAAGTTGTATGTGTAACTTTAATAATTAAAATAAGTATAATTTAAAATATATACAAATAATCAAATAATTTGCTAATAATATGATAATTTGGATCAAACTGATTATTAATTGACAGCTACTTGATACTAAAACTACCAACATTTTTAAACTTTAGCGTACAATTTACCAAATACAATGTTATAACATAAAGTTTTTCTTGTATTTAATTCTGCTTTTATTTATTTTTTCTGATACCGCGACCGATCAATTTGATACCTTGAATTTTTATATTTTTTCGTCTAATACTATACAACAAGATAATTATTGAGATTATTCCGAAAGTGAGATTGACGTAGAAGACCTACTCATCTATATTGCTGTTAATCGTTCAATTTCGGAAGAAATAAAAAAGTTCAAAACTTTGAATAAGCACTTCCTGATATTTTTAGAGAAGTATCAGATATAAACAATAATATATATTTTTAAGGTCCGATCATTTTGGCTGGTCACACTAAAAATAAGTATACATTAAATGTAGGTACGTTTGGTTATAATCTTAAGAAAAGTTATAAAGAAAAAATCTTAATAGAATAATAATATAATTGCTAATTGTATTAATAATTACTATTTAACACATTTTCATGCAACCAGACACACAGTTATTGTTTTAGTTAATCCATTTTCGTACTCTTTCGAGCATTTTGCTCTTGGTGACTGTATCAGATGGATTAACATTTACACGTTAAGGACGCTGCAAATCGATTTGCCTGCTGCGAGAAAAAATTTCGTGGTCACCTATGGACGGAGTGAAAAGTCAAATATCTTACGTCAGTTACAAACTTAATTTTTTTTATACATTTTTTAATAATTTTTAAACAGTTTATAACAATTGTGAGAAATGTGACTCGCAATTTATTTTGTTAAGTATTAATAAATTATGTCACAATATCACATATTATTCTAAATTGGTTTTACAATTATTAAAATATTGGCGTATAAGCTTTGTAATTGACGTAAGATATTTCAGGTTATACTCAGTCAAATTCAGTGACGTGCAAAGCGACAAAACTATTATTCATAATTTATAACCCACTGGTGGGTCATGCCACCATCAACGTGTTATTTAATAATCCAAGAAAAACATCACAAAACGACCAATATTATCATTTCATAACTTATTGAATTATTACCAAAGATAATCTAAGTTTAACTTTTTAAGTGTATTTTATAGTAAATAAAGTAAGTAGGCTATATAATCAAATAAATTAATACAATATTTTTCCATGAGTTTTATCTTTTATCGATTTGAAAACGTTTAGGTTTTATTACATAATTTTCGCCAACTTTAGAAATATTACTATGTCACTGTTAATAAAAACAGAAATATTACCTTGGATATTTCCGTTTTTATTAACATTTTATTTAGTATCATAATAAGTTAAAATATTTAGATAGGTACTGTATATAATGTATAATATTAAAGTGTCAAAAACATGGATAGATTTTTAAAGTATTTATAATTAATTTAGAAATTCACAGGTTAGAAGAGCATTACAATTTATTAAATTCCCCAAGGATTCGATTTAGAAATGTCAAAAATCAGTTATAGAACCTTCTTAAGCATTTATGTGTTGAAGGTAAAAGATACGAAATAAGTTATTTTTGGTTAATATTTTTTTTGTTGATAACAGAGCTAATATAGACATACTTTTATGAAATACAGTAATACTTCGCTTAGTGCGGAAACCGGACAAAACCACTTGAAAATAAATAGCACAAAAAGAGGCGAATATGTAAACAAAATAAACGATCCATTGTGTATAAAAATAATATTTTTTTTTTAGAATTTATTCATTTTGCCAATTAAAATGTTGTTTGTTTTAATTCCAAACCGAACTATAATGACTGATTGAAGACGTACTATGCGACGTTTCCGGAAATTCATTCGAATGGAATTTTGTATTAAAAATCTATTCTTTCGGATATTCCTTTATTGCTGTTAGATTTATAAATACAGATAAATGATTTCACAAATATGTATTTCCCTATACACTTTATTACAAACAACTGGACAGACGAAATTAATATCGCGTAAACTTTGAAATAATCTCTAAGAAAAACTAGTAGATTTTATTAAACAATTTAAGATTTCTATAATACATTAATGATATAATTTATATATAAAAATTAAATTACTACAACCTTAAAATATTTCTTCCATTTTAAGAAATTTCCGTTCGGCTAAATTACAAAAATAGTAATTGCCGAAACCAGGGATCGAACCAGGGACCTTTAGATCTTCAGTCTAACGCTCTCCCAACTGAGCTATTTCGGCATACAATATAAAAATAATTTATTTCCATTATTGCAAGAATTATTAAATTAATTATGTAATCTGGTTGTATTAAATATTTTACTGATATTTAATAAACTAAAGCCGAATAGAAAATATAAGATAACTTAAATTGTAGTAAAATATTTTTAGAAAAAGCGAAAAGATCTCGGTCGTTATCCCTTTAGTCATAATTGTGACCAATAAATATTTTTATAAATTAAAAAAAATAGAGAATTAGACTATAAGTTCATGGACCTACAATTATAATTATTTATTATAAAGCACCTAATGACTGTTTATTTGGCTCCTTTTACGTGTAGTCAATTGCTATCATGCATAATTGCCAACAGGCATTAGAGAATAGAAAGAAGGAATGCGTTGATTTATATAGATTTTTTTTCTACCTTGCAAACAATTACATTTGCCAAAGGTTTTTACGTAACCATAATGTTGGCCCCATATCGTCCACTGTCGATTCCAAAATATATACAGAGCGTGAAACTTTTGCTTTTTTAACACCACAATTACTTTGTCTGAAATTGATATAATATTTTATTCAACTGGGCAGAATTATCAATGGTCAATAGCTCTTTGCAGCTGTTGATTGTTTTTTGTAATTTATTGTTGCAATAAATATTGTTATTAATATTTTGCAACTAGGGATTCATATTTTGGTCAACATTTCTTTCTAGAAGGGCAAATTTCAGAAATGTGTGTGTTCGGCGGGAGGGCATATTTAAACATGAAAATATTGAGTATGTTGTTTAACTATCTAAAATTTAGAATATAGATATTTGAACTGCGGGCACTTTAAAATAGCTTCGCGGGCATGCTGGTGCCCGCGGGCATCTCGTTGCCGACCCCTGGTCTAGATTCTAGAGTCTAGGACACGGCCGCATTCAGGTTTCCAACCCCCATCTTTGTGGTTTCAAACTTAACAATAAATTGATATTTTTAGATAGACGCGAGAGAATTTTGGTGGTCCGTAGAGTAATTGCAATATATTCGCAATCTTTGTTTTATTATTGATTGTACTTTTTTGCAATTTTCTCATTATTACGTTGCGTATTTATAAAAGGTCCAAAGTAAAAAAGTGTAAGTATTATTTCATATTTATAATCTTTTTTTTACGGAAAAATATCATGGTAGTAGTCCGGGGGATTCAAAATTTTGAGTTTAATGGTCCGCGGATTTCAATTCTTTGATTTTAGTGGTCCGTGAGGTCGAATAGGTTGGCGACTGCTAGTCCAGAACGGTTACTTAATACGCCAACATTTGTAACTTTCATAGATAAGAAATATTGTAGTTAAATATAGTATATTGTGAATATTAAAAGTATTATTGACTTCTTATAAAAGTTTACAAATTAATCGTACTTCACTTTGAGCGAATAATTTGTACGTTTTTACAAATTGGCACAAATAGAATCAAACTCATGTAGAAAGTTAAATAACGTAAAAGCTGTACAATAAAATTTACATAAATATAAATACAAACCAAATTCATAGTTTGAAGGTTTTCATCTATTGATTAAGATAGTTTGGCACGTGTGCAAATTGTATCACCTTATTTTTTGCTGGTTGTAAAGTACGTCATTATAAAAAAGATTCATAAATATATGATAAATATTCTTATATTGAAATAATGTTCATACATAAGTTAATTTAACTTTCTGCACTATCGAACGAAAGCATGGTCTTACATAACTTTGAAATCACGAGATGAATAAACAATGTTCAAACTTACCTGTTGTTTTCGTGTGTCCTTTTCTTTCTGTTTTGCTCCGGATATTTGGTATTATATTCCTTAGCGCCCTTGATTCTTCTCCTAATGGTTGCGGATTTGATCGTCGACGATGGCGGTCCCAGCCATTTTCGTTGTCGTTCGATTCGTATTATTTACCTGCCAGCAAACACAGATACACCAAGGTAGACACATGTACACGAACAGGAGAGACAATATAATGTGCAATTGATCTATATAAAGAGTGGGTCAGCAAATCCGATTTAAATATCATCAAATTGGTATGGTGCCAGATTGACACGCGAAATGCACACACACACTCACACTTAGCACATATCAAATTGATCCGCTGTTCGAGCTCCGTCACATATATCTACTCGAAACCGGACAGAATCTCAACATTTCAACATCATTAACTTAAATTAAAGATATACAATTTGGCCCAAAATTAGCTTCAGGCAACATGCCCAATGCATTCACTCAAGGTCGTTGCGAAAGTTCACCTGATATTTTTATTATTATTAGTTTATAAACACAATAGATCCCATTTACGTCAGTTATTTTGGTACTCTAAATTGGAATGCAACAGAACAATTTAAGCTGATTCATTAAAAGGCATACATAAGTATTTTATATAATGTCAAACAACCACAGGAAAGTGCCAATAACTTCCTCTCAAAGTACTTGCAATATTTCATCAGTATTTTTATACTTTTAATTTTGTATTGCATTATCCCCACTTTTGCTATTTGATATACAATATGTACGAGATTCTTCAGATACACCAAGTTTCAAACTATCAACAGGCGCTTCTGTTCTAATAGAATATAATTCTGTATATTTTGTTTTAAATGTGTATATACAAATAACTCAAAAGTATTAGTCATATTTACTTATGAGAGTTTGAAAAACTTCTTTATATCTTTATTAATAACTCATGATGCATGCAGTATCCATACTTTTTAGATTAATATATGCAGAACGAGCAGATTTAAAAATACATTTTTTAAGATAAAAATGATTTAGAATAATTTTCAAAAAGTTGTCTTTAGTTATTATAAAAATATAGACAAATCTTTAAAATATATATATTTTATTTATAGGATTTTGTCAATAGAAATGTTTATAAATATTGCAGCATATGAATTAAATTCAATAATACATACAGTGTATAAATTTAAACTTAATGTGATCCAAATTTAAATTACTTTGTAAGTATTGATAAAACAGAAATCGTATTTTTCAGAAACTGTGTTGAATAAACTGCTCTCCGCACATACCGCAGATGTTGGTTTATCGTGGAAGGAAATGCCATTAAAAAAAAGTTGTTATTGCCGCATATTTCAAGTTTTTACGAATATAAACATTTCGCAATCGCTCATGAGGCTTTTCAGCATCAAAGCATGGGCCTTAGCTCTATAAATAAGTAATTCAACTTTGCGCGTAATCGAAATGTTATCGAGGATGGAAGTAAATGGGAGATATTCCTCCTTTCTAAAGAGTTGATTATTGTCGTTCGATAAAACAAGACAGGGGAGAAACATGTAAACAGACGTTGATGTTGTTATTACATTTGTGACTGGTGGTTCGGGTTTACGCAATGATTCATTTCTGAGTGGTTATTGCATCAAAACATCTTCATCCACACTACTCAAAATTAGTGCTGTCTACACACCTCTCACTATGGTCTAAGTTGTCAACATTGTTTATCCACGAGAAGGAATCGGGAAGCTGGTCAGCCGTCGTCGGTTCCCCTTTTCTGGACGTCGTCGCCTGTTGTTGGATAACTAAAAATACTGTTCCGTGGTGGACGGGTGTGTGAGCATGTATGCATGTAGTACGTACGACGGCTGCGTCTCTCGGATTCGAACTGAACGGGACTCTAAAACTGTTTGAGCCAAAGACCACTGGGATTCATCAGTGGCATTTCAGTTCCCGTCACTGACAAATGTCAATTTGACGTGGTGTGAGTATGCGGCAGAGACGGTACCAGAATGCAGACGCATCATCTATACCATCACCAACGTCAGTAGCATTGGGACCTGGTACTTTTTTATCCTCGCCTTCGTCCTTGGCGTGGTGACGGCGGACGGCGGATCCCAACTTTTGCGCAGACCCCAAATTCATAGTGATCATTTTAACAAACGGACGTTGTATCCGAGCGTACTCGTACCATTAGTTACCAAGACTTCGTTTTATTGGGAGAATTTAAAGAAGAACCCACCAGAAGCTCAAGTCTTACTTAAAACTCCAGATATAGCGCCAGCTAAACCATCGGCCTTCTTGAAAGGAGAAACTCTATTAACACCTTTATATAAGCAGAAATCCTCCAACGATGACAAGATTAAACCACCAGAAACGATGTGGGAATTACCTAATTACGATAGCATAGACATAATGCCGGGAATAGAACCAGAAAACACTCAACTTCCGGTATTTGTTCGCGATCCGCCTATTACTGTAAAAGTACGAAGAAGAAACATGACTATGGCACCAAACGATGTCCGACTTTGGCCAAAATACAAAAGGTCCAAGTACAGGAGGGAAAGGTTAAACGTTGGTACAGAAACCTACAATGAGAACAATCTACAATTTACACAACAGCATGCAATAACACAAAATTATATGAATACAACAAACAATTTTTTACACGATTCGCTGATAATGCAGAACCTACGAAATTCATCAATAAGAAGATTCAATAAAGGTATTAAACCTTTAAGAGAATTAAAGTTTACTCGAGATTTTTTAGAAATGATGACACCAAAATCAACTATGAAAACTACATCATTTCCGTTATTTTTTATAACTTCGAATTATTTGCGTAAGATAAAACCAAATCCCTTTAACGAGGTAGTTCTATTACCACGTGGATTTACCTTTCCTACCACAACCGATGAAAATAAACCTACAGAATTTGATATTTCCGATACGCTGAATCGTTTTCTTGAAGATGTGAAAAAGCTAGCAGAGGAGTATTACTTGGTGAAACGCTTAAAAGATTCTGATGAAAATTACATGAAACGTGATGAAAAGAAAGCCAATACTATTGTTATTATGGCCAGAGCTGATGATGAAAGTACTACTACTTCAGACACATCTACGACGTCAACGACTGCTGCAGTTGAAAATACAACTACTGAAGTTAAAAAAAATGATACAACCGTTAAAGACGAAAGTAATGAAGAATGTGCAACAATTATGGCTGAAGATGGTGCTAATAATCGAACTGCAGTTAATAAAACAATGCCAGGAGGAATTATGGAAGAAGTTAAACCGGAATCTACCGGTACGGGTGAACATAATCCAGATGATAAGAGTTGTCCGGAAGGGAAGTTCTTTCACTTATCGAAAGAAGCCTTGGAAAAAGTGGAGCTCACGACGCCAAAGAACGAATCTTGCGGAAAAGTTCATTGTCACTCAAACACCTATACCGTGTACGATGAAAAGCTTCCCACAACTAAACTGAAAAAAAGTGCCGGTATATGGAGAAATTGGCGTCATACTACGTATTCTCCACTGAGAAAATCACAAATTAGATCAAGTAGGAAAAAGAAAATGAGAGTGGAATTGCAGGATGATGTGGAGGAAATCAATTTGTATTTGAGACGGACACGAAGCGTGGAATCCAACGATAACATGATTAAAGAGCTGCAGGAGGTGCTGAAAGATGTAGAATCCATAAAGACCGGAAAAACCCTAGCGGAAGGAGCTATTATGTCCGGTTATATATAATCAGTTCACTGGAATATGGTATAAATAATAAATGCAATTGAATTTCAGGTGAGTGCGGTGTGTACGGATCTTGGATGTCTGAAATGGCAGGTCGTTTCATAGATCTAAATATCGATATGACGGCGACCCTTCGAAAACCGATTCTGAAGAACCAGCTGGGTTTCATGGGAAAACTGACGTGGAACATTACGTTCAGAAGACCCTTCGTTTCCAAGAAAAATTATATTATTCTACATGCAATACAGAAGAAGGAGAAGTTGTTTGCAATTTACATGGGTATTTATTAATATCTTAGTTTCGGGTATGGATTGATTGTTTGATATTCTTGCAGGTGAGTGCAGGGTTTGCAGGCAACGCGAGATCATACAAGGGCAGTGGCTTGTCACAAGACATTCTAGGGATTGTGAAGGGTTGGGCGCCACCGAGCAGTTAGTTGGTGATGTTTGGAGGAAAGATAAGATCCAGGAGATGAAAAGGAACCGACTTAAAATGCTCAAAAGTGATCAAGTCGCAGAAATATCCCCGGATCCGTTCAGCGATGAAACAACAACCAGCGTACCTCCAAAAAGTAGTATTTAATTTAAGTTTTCTATTTATACATAGTTTTTATTTTATACCTTATTGTAATATAATTGGATTTATATGTATTGTGTAATTAATATGAATTCGTAGATAACGAGTGTGGTTGTTAAACAGGTAGTTTGCATGGTTTCTAGCTATATATATTAGGTGTAGGCATATATTTAGCTAATGATAAGATTACAGGGAGATATAACAATAATATGCAGAGAGCAGAGCGCTGAAGGCAGTTAACAGGACAGAATGGTCGGGAGTGGTGGATCGTAGACAAGTGCCGAGTGTCTTCATCCTCATCCTCATTAAGGGCGACGATCAGTTTGCTTTGTGAATTCGTTCCATTTCGAAGGGCCCCATGCGATCGAGTTCGTTCCCCAGGAAGCCATAGTATTCCTAAACGAGTCGGCTGTTATTTAAAAGGAGCTGAATAAAGGAAAGAACACAATTTTCATTGTGTGTTTGAAATAAAACAGATAACCTACAAGTCGCACGACTCCCAGCTACGACACCAGCCACCAAAGGTCAGATTTCATCCAAAGAAACAGAAAAGAAAATAAATGAAAAAACAAACATGAAAAGAAATCACAATAAGAATATTGGCATTAACAATGGGTGGCGAATGGGAAGCCCGAGCAACAAATTAGAGCCCACATAAATTTTGTTTTCCTGCCTATTCTATTAAATTACGTGGAGCGGAATTAGAGAAAGAAAGAGACCGACGACGGTCGAGAAAGAAACGTAGAAGTACAGGACTGCTTCGCATTGCATAAAGTTAATTGCAGCGTAATTAAGATAAACCACGTTTTAATCAATCAAAGCGGCTTAAGTCGAGCGCACGCTACTTTATTTTAATTCAAGTCATATGACTTATTGTTAGCATGAGAATAACGTGATTCACAAAGTGCACAATGATTTTCGATTCTTGCAGAAACATGCATTTGAGTGTCATGATTATATAACGGTTGCACACTGTATACATTCGATATAGGATCTGCAGAATTGTAAGTTTTAACACATTGCAAAAGCGTACTTGGAACGTTCGCATTCTTGTTATTTCTTTTATAATCAGATTATTTCTTACTACTTCTTGAATAATAGCACTTGACTATGAAACAAATAAATCGCCAATCATGTTAAAATATAATTTAATAACACTCGCACAAAATCTCGTACTATAAAGCAGCAAATTATTATCAATTAATGTTAAATCAAAACTGTTATGTAAACGGCTTCTGCTGTAGAACCTATATTTAATAAATGACACAAAAAGACCCTGACCTAATTTGCTTTAACGCAGTGTCTCTAGATCAACTACATAATTTGACAAATCAAATCATTTTTTAAAATAAACAAAATTAGTATAGAATTTAGGGTAATTTAGGACGTATATCTAATGTGAATTATTGCAAACGTATTTGAATCGCGTACAATTCCTTAAATACATTACTTTAAACTTGATATTATTAGTGTACACGCACTTGTAGCACTAATATTTCAAGAACTTTTTAGCAAATCACTTATCTAATGCTAAAGAACTTTTCCGACACTAAACCTTGTGGAACCCTGTTCGTTTCAAATTAGCGCAGTCATCTTTGCGTTTTCCATTGGTTGTTGACGGTGGTTAAATACTACTGTAGCAATTCTATTTATAGTATTTGTTTTTATAAATCATTACAGGTTGCATATGCAAATATTATTGTAAAATAAATATGTAGTACTTAATATCGATATTTTTTACTTAATAATTCAATTGGAAATTCTATAGATATTTGTAGATATTTCTATTAAAATATTTCTTATTAGCAAATAATAATTGTAAATATAAAACTGATCATTTGACAAAAACATAGTTTGCGAGCATATTCATTCCGAAAACGTGCTCGTAAATCTAAGCGACTTTATAGATGATCCTGAGACAATTTACAATGTGTTAATGATTTTACCAAAACTTATTATTTATATAATACTCATATTGCTAGACCTCCGTCGTTTATCAAGTTAAAATGTTATACAAAACATTATCAAACTGAAACAATACTGAATACTAATCTTTGTGATCCAGAAATGGAACATGAAATAGTTTTTTTTTTAATAACAATATCAAAACAAAAATAGTTCTGAAAACTTGATTGACTATACTAAAGCTGAATAAATGAAGTATTTCATCTTAACATTTGTATCAAGCTACAAATAATTAAAAACCCGATTGAATATTTAAAAAAAGTTTAAAATATAGGAGTTTTATGTTAACCTTGGCTTAAGATACTTTACTCAATTCATATTTGTCAATAAGTACTTCAGAATTTTAGAATACAAAAAAGAAGATAAAATATATTTAATTAAAAGTATAATTCTCACAAGGCTTAACGTAATTCGATCTGATATGAACGAAACTGGAGAGGTGTGGAGAGCATTTCTCTCGAAGCGAATGTAATTCGGGTGCGTACGTATGATCAAGTATTGATATTATATGTAATACACTTTTGTTTCCCCTTTATCAGTTTCAATTTCGTTCGGTTTATCGAACGATAAATCTCCGAAACGACAATTATTATTGTTGTTCAGTTGCATTTGTTGTCGTGTGGAAAAAGCATGCGCTATTCTCCAGTGATGCTTTATTCAAATGCATATGGATTTTTTCTAAGTAAATAACAATTCTACGCAATAAGTGAGTTTAAATAGGTTGTATATATTATTATTTTTGCAAATACATATATTATTAAATTTTGATGCATATCGTGTTTGATGAAATGAAGATAATATTTGCAATTACTATTGTTTTTGCGTTTATCGACAATACCGGTTGTCACAGTATGTTGAATTCATATAACTAATTAATAAAATTATATTAATTGTCGTTAATAATATTATTTATTCAATGTTGATAGTAATATTACACATATATTTCAAATATGATCATATTTTGGAAAATATACATTAGATGTTATACAATTATAACATTATTCGCTTTCAAAACGATTGAACCAACTATTTTAGTCACAACAAAAAATATATAAGCAAGATATTTTTTGTTTGAGAATGAGACTAAAAAAGTAACAAAAATTAATTAATTTAAAAAATGTTTGTAATATTTGTATTCGGATGAGAAATCAGAGGGAAGAATCTTTTTTTATTTATTTAAATTAATTTGGATGAAAAATATGATTTAGTAAATTCAATATCAACTTAGGATACTCCAATTTCATAGATAAATGTAAAAAAAAACTAAATAAAAAAATTGAAATTATGTATTTTTTATCTTATTTAGTACATTGGTATTATTAACACGAGTGCTTTAATAAAATTAAGTTCAGTGTAACGTATTTATAGAATGGCATAGAATTCAAACATTTGCACACTTATTCACATTAAATTTATGATTCAAAAAACTATTTCAAATAACAAAATTGAATTAAATTTAAAAACTGAAAAATAAAATCACTGGCTATATAATTGGGTGTTATCAGAACTTCAATAATTGGTGTTTTATTAGTCTTCTCGAATTTTATATTATTTTACAAATACATTACTGATATCAAACAAAGATTTTAACTTTTTAATTAATTTTACATTATACATTTTGTATCTAAAACCATGTTTTGAAATTTATTAAAAACGAATTTTACTATTTATTAATAAAGGACAAATAAACATTGATTGTCATGAATATAAAATAAAATGAGAAGTTTAAAAGAATTCAAAATAAAATATTAATTTGTATTGTACTTAATATTACAGAGACAATATTCTTTTCAAGATATAAATAAAGTAGTTTATATAGAGAATAACTGATCAGAATAATAAAGAAATTTGTATAAGAGTATAATCTGAAAGAATAGAGTTGTGTTGATCTTTGCATTTGTTTTTAACATATTTTATGTTGTTTGTTAGATGGCTGAAGGGGAAACAAAGGAGGAATCGTCGGGTAGTGGCATTGCTAGGTTGATCCCAGGTGCTCCTCCCGTCGCGACAGCGGCACCTGTGGAGGCGAGAAAAGGACTCTTTAAATACGCGCACACGTGTGGCAGTTACTTCGCGAAGTGTAGCTGTGGTAATCATGACGGTGTCCCGACAGAGGAGGACCCACCACTTCCAGACAGCCGTAGCCGCGAGAAGCGCCTCTCCAACCCGGAGCTGAACGAGAAGAGAAAAACTAGACACTACAAGCTCAGCCTAAACTATCAGAATCCGAAGAGCTATCTGGCGCATCCGGACCTCCCGTTCCCAATAGCTAAACCGCAAGGGGACGCAAAGAAGACACGCCAAAGCTTTCAGTCGAAATCCTTGGACTTGGAGAATCTGAACTACCATAAGTATACAGCCTTAGCTTACGAGGAGGAGGCAGCCCAGAAGTTCTTCAAGGATTTCGGGATCTTCGGCCCGATGGGGAACGGCGTGGCTTCGATTAGGAGGAGCTCGCGCGACAGTGAAAAGAAACTATCAGTGGTGGATAGCCCTAGAAAAGGCTCTAATATCAGCGTGCCGGCAGACTACGAGTATTTGAAGAGCATAGTACCAAGACTCGAAAAAGAACTTTCCGACTTGGAGATCAAGTTCGGTTCGTTGCAAGTGGAATCGCAGCAGGTGAAGAAGGATCTACGATGCCGGGAATCGGAAGTTGTGCGTTTACAGCGGGAAATACACAAGCTCAAAGTAAGTTCCATCAGACAGGTTCCTATTTTAGTCATCTTCATTGCACTACATACAAAACATTATTTATTGTATTGTGTTAAATATGTGTGTATATATATAATATATAAAGCAGAATGACGCGCACGGCACACTTCCTCTCGCGATTGACTCTATACGTGTCGGTGTTTTCTTTGCTTTAAAATCAATATTTGCGTTTGGAATCAAATCAAAATAGGTGTTTATAAATAGAGATAGAAGAGGAGGAATTGTATACGTGAGTACGTGTATCCGAGCAACCGACATTTATTATGCGTTTTCGGTGACCACCGAATTTCTGGCCGCAACATCTAAACCCTCGTTTAATGGTTACCTAGCGTGCGTCGCAAAGCCCACTTCTTTTTCTGGCACATCTTGATATCGGCCCGAAAAACGAAAATAAGATTAAAAACTATTTCTAGATAGCGCCGCAGACATAAAAAGCAAGCCGAAGGGCGAGCACCTTTAAAATTATTCTCCTCTTGCAGAGCGTTTTGCAACAAACTACCACACCAAAAGATGGAGATATGCTGGCCAGCCTTCAGAAACTCCCAACGATGGCAAATCGCGCTCCCGTGCAACAGAATTCGATGAACAAAAAGCAGGGTGTATCCGCAGAGTCCAGCGACGCCGCCAACGTCCCCAGCGACATCACCATACCCAAATTCGATAAAGACTTCAGATCGAAGCAGCTTATCAAAGACGCGATCCTGGACAACGATTTTCTCAAAAACCTCGATTCGGGTCAAATTCGCGAACTAGTTGAATCGATGTACCAGAAGGATTACGATAGCGGAAGTTATGTGATCAGAGAAGGCGATGCCGGAGCCCACCTGTATGTCTCCGCACAAGGGGAATTTGAGGTCATCAAAGAAGATAAAGTTCTGGGCAGGATGGGTTCCGGTAAAGCGTTCGGCGAACTGGCCATCCTTTATAATTGTACAAGAACTGCTTCAATCAGAGGTGATATTGTGTTTTATGCTAATATTTATGTTAATCTGTTCACTTCAACTTGACAATTGTCATTCTGAATACAATTACAGTTATTGTGGATTCTACGGCCTGGGTTCTGGACAGGAAAGTCTTCCAGCAGATTATGATGAGGACGGGACTGCAACGACTTCAGGACAATATCAACTTCCTGCGCTCCGTTCCTCTCCTTCAGAATTTGAGCAACAATGTTTTAGCGAAAATCGCCGACGTCTTGGAAGTTGTAAGTTTATTCATTGATTACCTATATATATATGATTAAGTGTATCATCATCATGCATAAATACAACAATTAATATTTTTTAAACAATCATTTTTTGTTAATACTTAGGGTGGCTATAATAATAAAAAAAAATAAATTAATATGTTTCACATACATATTAATTTATTTTTTTAATGCAACAGGTAAGCATTACATAGTTAACACACTTGAGTTGATTGCCAAGAATTCCACATCGATTTTTGTTTGTTGTACTGGAAGAGAGGTGAAATATACAAGTGGATAAGAAAAACAATTATATATTCTGAATTCAATAGAATAATTTGTTGTCTTGTTTATTCCATTTTATTTTCTTCTAAATATAGTACATCAAATATAAATCAGTATTAGATTTGCAATAAATAAAAATTAACGTGAAAGTCATTACGTGTGTAGTTTCATCATTTCTTACAAATTTTGCAATACATTATAATTTAATAATTATTATTCTAATTTTAAATCCTCAAAGAAATAAACAACTATATAAAGAGAAAAGAGACTTGAGATATACAGAAAAAAAAACATTTATTGTATATAAAAATTTCATCATTATTTAATGTATTTATTTGAAAATTATTATCATAAACTGTAATTTTATTGGCAAAATCTTGTATTGTTAAAAAAAAACTGTTCAATGTGTATAATTATAATATCTATAATTTCAGGAATTTTATCCTTCTGGTGCGTATGTGATCAGACAAGGAGCAAGGGGTGATACATTTTTTATAATGAGCAGCGGTAGGGTGAAAATCACACAGAGAATGCCAGGTGGGTACATCGGCTTGTTGCAATTTTGTAAAGCCTTTCGTATTTTTATTTCATTTGTTTGTTTATTCAGGAAGTTTGGAAGACGAGGAGATTCGAGTATTGGAACGCGGGGATTATTTCGGGGAGCAGGCATTGTTGAAGGAGGATTATAGGACGGCGTCAGTGATAGCATTGCATCCGGGCGTTGAGTGTTTGACTCTCGATCGCGACTCGTTTATTCAGCTTATCGGCGATTTGAGTGAGATCAAGGAGAAGGATTACGGAGATGGCAGGCGTGTACTAGCTCGGCCGACGAGCAGTAACAATATGCAAGAGCAGATCGAATATGAGTACATTCAGCTGGATGATCTTGATGTGATTGCAACTCTGGGCATCGGCGGATTCGGCAGGGTTGAACTAGTGCAGTATTCCAGAGATTCGACGGTCACGTTCGCATTGAAGTGCTTGAAGAAACAGCACATAGTTGATACGGAGCAGCAGGAACACGTCTTTAGCGAGAAAGTCATAATGATGAGCTGCAGAAGTCAATTTATTTGCAGACTTTACAGGACTTTCAGGGACTCCAAGTTCGTTTACATGATGCTGGAGGCGTGTCTGGGAGGAGAGGTATGGACGATACTCAGGGATAGAGGTTGCTTCGACGAACACACAACTAGGTTTCGATAAGAACATTTGCGTGCTTGAATTATTTACTTAATTCACACTGCTTCCACAGGTTTATTACTGCATGCGTGGTGGAGGCTTTCGAATATTTACACGCGAGAGGTATCATTTATCGCGACCTCAAACCAGAGAATCTTCTGCTGGACAGCCGAGGCTACATTAAACTGGTAGATTTTGGATTCTCAAAACGCTTAGGGTACAGCAACAAGACATGGACTTTTTGCGGCACCCCAGAATACGTTGCACCGGAAACTATTCTCAATAAAGGACATGACAGGGCTGTGGATTATTGGGCTTTGGGTATTTTGATGCACGAGCTTCTAAGCGGAAAGTAATATGCTTATTCATTTTAAAGTTTTTATCAATTTAATAATTATTTTATTTTAGTCCACCGTTCACCGCCTCAGATCCGATGCGTACCTACAATTTGATTTTAAAAGGAATCGATATGGTTGATTTCGGAAAATATAATATGACAAGATCTGCACAAAGTTTGATTAAAAAACTCTGCAGAGATTTACCATCTGAGAGGTTGGGATACCAACGTGGTGGAATACAAGACATCAAGAAGCATAAGTAGCAGCACTGTTAAATATTTTTGAAGACACTATTAAAACCATTTGTTGTTCCTGTTTTTAGATGGTTCCAAGGCTTCGATTGGGATGGTTTGAATGAGGGAACTTTACCTCCGCCGATCGTGCAGACCGTGCGCGATTCCAGCGATTCGAGCAACTTCGACTGTTACAGCAGGGATAACGACATCCCCCCTGACGAGTGCTCCAACTGGGACGTTAACTTTTGAACTCATCTCCATTATTTATTTACAATTAACCTAAACGAGCGGACCAATTGATCGCTTCCAATTGGTAACTAATTTAACCAATTCTGAACTGTATATGTATTACATAAGGACAAAGTATATGACAATAATTAAAAACGATAATAAATTTACATGGGTTGTTCTCATTTTTATACTAAAACAATCACTTGCATGTTCATTCTTAAATAATTATCTTCCTAAATATGTTTCGTATATCATAAAATAAATATAATGATGCACGACTTTATTATATTTATTTTTGGGGAGAATAAATCAAATTTGATGTAAATATCATATAAAAAAGGATATTGGAATTATAGTGATAGCGACATGCATGTCTCATGTCATAAAAATAATGTTTTATTGATTACACCTGTAGACTATTTTTATCATTTAAATATTTTATCACATGGAATTCTGTAAATTATCAACAACGTCATTATTATAGACAACAACAATGTCATTTATTTTATTTGGTGTTTCATTTACAGCGCTGAATATCACCAAATCTAGTACGTTTTCTTGCAATGTCAGAATATATTTGTGTCAGAATGTCTTTTGAATTTTCGCGGTTTATCCTGGCTGGGATTAGAAAACCTTCTAAACACGTAAGTTTCATAAACTAATTTATGTAATTTCATACAATTCATAGTGATAATATTTGCTATCGTTAATTATTCACTCTTACAATGAAGTGTTATGCAAAACTACGATTATTCTATTCCAAATATATTTATTTCAATATATTTAAATTTATATATAGACATTAACCAAAAGTAATGTTTATATGAAACAGATAAAACTATAGAAGTATTATTATCAATGCTATGTTAACTTATACTATTTTATATGATTAACTTCATATCGTCATTTCAACTCGTAAAGATAGGTAATCATAAAATGAGGATTTGTAGAACAAAAACCAATCATATATGATTATTTAGAAATTATTGGTCTTTGTGCGGAAATTATTATAATAAAGCAAAAAAATTCTTCAGCGAATAATTTTCAAATCAATTATCTCAACTTTAATTACAAATTAAATATCACATTTATTTATTACAGAATGCGACAAATTTTGAATATTTAAAAAAATTAAAAAAAAATAGATTTATTTCTATGATATATTCTCAATTTATAAATTAATTAAACTTAGTAGATTACTAGCATTTTTAATTTCTCAAATAAAGTTAAATGTTTATACAGTAAAACCTGTTTTGTGCAGTAGATAAGGACCGCATAAAAAATCGCATCAGAAAATATATGAGAAAGTGCATTCAAACAAAATAAATATTTTACATATGGAGACATTTTCAAAATGCACATACACAATTTACTGCTACTCATGTTAATCCAAAACGCGCATCTTCTTGGTTGGATTTCAACGGTTCTACTGTATATTAATTAAAGTATGTTTGGCAATGCGAAGTATTGCTGTGTAAATAAATGAGATATGCATCTTCTATCTAAACTTATTCGAAACATGTAGGGTTACTTCCGTAAGATCAGTTAAAATAAATTAGGTGTTAAGATGTAAAAAATTCTACGATGTAATTATTATTGTTTGTTTTGGATTTGAATATTTAGAGAGGGTCACGGTGTGCCTTGGCCGTGTAACGAAAGACGCAAGCGCTGGCGTCCGGCGTGCGGTCCCTTCGAGGATGTCGTCGACGTCGTCGTTATCTTCCAACAGTAGCGGTAAGAAGGTGCATCGCGACGCTTCTTGCGATCCATCCGACGTCTCGCTACGCTCCGTCCAGACACACGAGCACTGCCACAGGTGAAGAAGACCTTGCACTCGTTTGTATCTTTGCCTCTATAGTTAAACACTAACACAGCAACTCGAGAAACCAAAACCGCACATACAAATTAGAAAAAAAAACACGAAATCTGCTTGAAACTAATATAAAAGAAAATAATCGATGCAATTGTGTCCGACTATACAGTATCTATCACGAGTTCCCAGCGCCGATCGAAATCGCACAACCATCTAATGCCAAAGACCTTTAAACTCTTAAATAAACATAAATTATTTAGATTATAAATAAATTAAAATTTAGTTATATTACGTAATTAACAAGAAAGTCTAAATTTTATCACTTGTATAATATTTTCTAAAAAACAAATGTTAAAACATTAAAATGGCGGAATATAAATAATGTTGATGTAGATGGTCCATATCATAAATATCATTAAAATCTAAATGTTGAGGGGATGAATATCGTAGAAATGATTAGGAGCGTTAATTGACGTGGTCTTGGCAATTAAACATGCATGATGTCTTCCGCCTTGGCCACCTGGGATCGCGTGACGCGCGATTTTAAACACTGGTTGGCCAGACTCGATTTCCATTAATATTTCAATATTTTCCCATTGAAGTCGCATCCAGTCTCATCTACTTTTTACATACCGTCAATTCGAATGTAGGTCAGACAGTAATGTTGAATCACCATAATTGTATGTATTGTAGTTCCACCGATTACAATTTCAATTTGAAAAATTCCACGTTGTTTATTGCGTTTATAAGCTACCTAGTTTATCGTCCGTTTTGCATAATCCAAGTTTGAATAGTTATGACTATGGGATACGGCTATTTAGTTCAAATTAATATAACATCATTGCTATAGAGTTTTCGTGATTGCTGGATTTATTAAGCGAGTTGAACCAACTTCGCAACATCATTTGATATGCTTTACTTAAATAGACATATGACAAACACTACTTGGATCGATGACCAGTAACCTTTCACATTAAGGATATAATATGTCACTCTCTATTAGGGAACAGTTGTAATATGTATTAACTAGTACACATAAATTCCAATTTGCTTCTAAAAATATATGGCGACAATTATTATATAATAAAACTACGTTATTTGCCACCAACAAATGAAACAGTTAATAAATTATAAACTTTAATTCTTTCCATTGCTAATATAGTTGTAAACAACGATATAATATTACACGTTTCTTTTGTAATAAAGTACAAGTCTTACACAGTCTTCAATCAGTACGGTTTAAAAATTTCAAAACAAACTAAATTTTAAATGTGCAAAATAAAAATAAAAGCTAAACAAAATTATTTATACATAACTGATCGTTTTCTACCTATATACCAGAGTCTGCCAAACTTGATTACCTCACGGCACACTGGGCAAAGATAATTACAATACACAAAATAAAAATATCAAGAACATTAAATAGATTATATTTTCTATGCTCAAATACTTTTTTACATATACTTTTATATTTTAATAATGTCTCAATTTGTGCTGTTTATTATTATGCGGCTTTAAAGTACAACAGTGCAAGCTATTGGCGGAACCGATAACCCGCACTATACGAAGTACAGGTAAACGTCGTTTTACTGCGTAAAATGAACCCATATTTACAGTGAGGTAACTATAGGGTTTAGTTCTATATGAGTGTAAAATCAGCAATTAATAAGCGTTATTTCATAGCTGTGTTATTGTGAATCGGCGTAAATCGAACCGACGCAAAACAACGTTTAACTGTATATTGTATTTTTTTTATTATAATGTTCTTTTCTTATCAATAATTCGGTGTTGTTTAAAGCAAATTAATATTTCGCTGATAATGTATAGCAAATAATCATGGGAAAGCGTTAAAAATTGATGTGTTACGCAATAATAGATTATGCAAATTCGCGCTGTATTATTTGCATGTAAAATATGCATTTATAATTCTTAGATCACGCTTGATCATAGAAGAATGTTGAAATATAGTAGCTTACTGATTTCCATACTTTATATATGCATTTAATGTGTTAGTGATATATTCTACTCATGTTGTGCTCAAATTCCATACTTTCCCTTTGAATGTGTATAATATTACACCATTTGTGGTTTCTGTTCTTTCAAATTTTAAATATCTCATAAATACAGCATTTTCTCACATTGTACGCCTTCGAATAGTCCAGATTAACTATAGTCCGCATTGAAAACAAACTAAAATAAATATAAATTTAAAAGAATTAATAGATACAATTATTTTTCTCTTTATAAAACCAAGTCTCTTTTTGTACGGTTTATTTCTATTTTCTTTAGTTCCTCGATAAGTCCAGTTTCAATCGGTCCGGGGTAGTGGTGGTACCGATTGCGCTAATTCCATGTAACAAATAAATTTTATCAATTATCAATTTTTTTCTAAATATTTTTAAGAATTTGTATACTCTACAATGTTATTAGACGTAGTTATTTCATAGTTATATACGGTTATTATTTTTAAATAACATAATTTAAACTTAACACCATAACAAAAAATTAAACTAAATTGAATTGCTGCAAAGGACTAATTACCATACGCATTTTTGCCCTATATTTTGATATCTAACATTTATTTAATTGTAAAAAACGTTCTATCAACTCAAATATTATATATATTCTAGACCAGTCATTATGGGGCTCAGGGGGGTCGTAATAAATTAATGACAAATCAAGCCTGGTTGTATTTTTCTACACTTACCAATTCTTCGGGGGTTGCAAAAACTTTATATGTCCAAAAGAGGGCGCTGACTTAAAAGTTTGAAAATCTCTGTTCTAGGCCAATGGCTGGTAACAATTACATAAAATATTTATATACAGATAAGTGTGAAATTGAAAACATGAATTAGCAAGTAAGGTATCTTGTTGCATATAGCACTTTTAATAAATATTTTTCTGTTTGTGATACAAATGTAACATTTCATGAAAATATTTTTCATTATTCCGTATCTATAAACAATAGTAATCTAATCTGGTAAAAAACAGCTTAAATGTTATGCAATTTGAAGAAAAAATATGTTTTTTAATTGCAAACATTACTGGACACTATGAATATACAATTATAGAAATATTGATTGAAAACAACAGTAAATTATATTGAATTTAGTTTCCGTGAAGTGAACCATTAATGTCTACTTAACTTTAACATTATCGAATTTTCTTGTCTTTTCTTAGCATGTTTTCATCATGAATAAATTATCATATTTGTCAGCGATTCTATTGTATTTTCCAAATGCGTTAATGGCAATCGAACGCCAGTTTTATTTTATGGTTTGGAAATCCAAGTTTCCAACTTATTTAGAATTTTCAAAGACATTTAACGACTCTATTTCTTTTAATTAG